CCGGCTATTGTCGGCTGAGTCATTGTTGGGAGATGCGGATCAAGGCTCCACCAGAGGCCGGGCGAAGGCCGCGGCGAAGCTCCGGATTGATGCTGATGAGACCTGTGAGCCTCTCTGAGCCTCACCGGGGGGTCGCTGGGGAGGCCCGAATGCTGGATCTTCTTTCGTTTCGCTGCATTCGAGTGACACGTTGCGTCATTGATCTACTGGCAGAAGTCTAAACCAAAGTGGGGTCCAGAGGATTTTGAAAGACAGGAAGGGATACTGCTTTGGAGGAAGCTACAATTGGTTGAGAGCGTCACCGTGACTCCTTCACCGTCGTACGTCTGGATGTGATTGGTCCCTTTGGTGTGATGTCATTTTGTTTTATTAAAACTGGAGGAGACGGTGCTCTTCTCCCGACTTAATAATGAATGAAGAGTCGGCTCTTTTGGGGTTTGTTTATTAGACATCACTGTCGACTGGAGATCGAACGGAGAATAAAAGCGTTTGATCTATTCAGACACATCTACTGACCAGATAACTACCAACTCTCAGCTGAACAATAAGCAGATGATGAGGGCCGGTGCAGTATTTTATTACATCACACCAAATATACTATGCTTGGATTGGGCCGTTTCTATTGCAGTGAAACATTCTGTTTCACACACAGGAGAACGCTGTTTGTGTCCCGGATTAATCAGTAATTATTTCTCTCTGTTTAGACTGCTTCAATGAGACCCACTTATGTTCCTGTGATATAAAAACTATATTTCGTTCATCCCTTTCATGAAAAATGATCGCAATTAAAGAAAACGTTTTTAAAGAGCTACAGTGTGTAAATGTACCAAAGGAAGGGCCCTGGTACGTGCAGAATACAGAGTGGTTGAGCCTCCCACAGAGGACGTTTTATTCTGAAATGCAGCCAGTTTCGGGGGCCCCTCTGTGTATTTTAATGAAACCGACTGGTACAATTTGTCCCTGAAGCTGATGTTTTGGGCGCTATCTGGCGCGGAAATCAAACGCACGGAGCTCAGGGAGTGTTTAGAGCTTTCCTCCAGTAAGAGGCTGCAGTTAGCAGAAGTGCTGAGAGGCCGAGCCCGGCCGGTCCTTCCACCCTGCTTTATCGCTGTTGTCACTTGTTTTTAATGAAAGTGGAGCTCAGCAGAAGAAGGAGGGGGGGGGGGGGCACCTCAGCAGGCCGCCTCTGTGCGCCTCTGTGTGTGTGTGTGTGTGTTTTTGTTGGATAGCGTGTGTTTGTTCAGTAAATGTAACTTTTTAAGTCCGCACGCCAAAGGGCTGCAGGGAAGGAATTAATCTCACCAGAACATTCTCACAGTGGCCTAAATAATTCACGCTCATTCTGCACGTCACATTTGAAACCCTCGCCTCTTTGCGAGGATGAAAGGTGATCAGATTTGAGTTAGCAGTCTGGAACTCACAGTCCGGTCCAGTTTGATGTCCGGTGTCCCTCCGCGGGGACTCCGTGCACGGCGCTCAGCGGCCACAAGGCCTGTCTGTGTGACATAGTTAGACGCTGCGTGTTTGTCACTTCCTCCTCTGTGTGTGTTGTTCGAGGACTCCTTTGTGCGCATGTGAATAGTGTGTGCGTAATTACATCATGAAAACTAAACCTCCGTCATTGCAAACAGGGTTTTAGTGAGTGTCCCTCATTGTCCGACCGGCTAAGGAATGCATTATGTCACCGAGTGTCCTTAAAGGACTGTATAGAAGTACAGCGGTGTGCGTGCGTCTGTGTGTCTGTTCAGACAAACATCAGTGTGTAGTTTCAGTAGCCCGCGAGTCACACTGCCAGCCTGTCCTCTACGACAGTTAATGAGCTGTCCCCTCGTCCTCCGTTCCGTCTTTTCCTGCTTCACCCCCGTCTCCGTCTTTATTGGAAAGCTATAAAGCGAGACCGTCTCTGTCCTTCTCTGGGTGGTTATTAAACGAACCGCTGTGGCAGAGCAGAGGGAGGTTTACATGGAGGGGGGGAGGGCGGGGGGGGAGTAATAGCTTCTCCTCCTAAGTCTTTTTTCTTCGCATCACGTGCCGCGCGAGACGTCAGACGAAGACGAATGATGATATCCCTCCGCTCGCCTCCCTCCAGCCAGAGACACTCTGAAGGGAGGATTCCGAACAAAGCGAGTATGCAGGAGAAATGTGTCAGAGGACTTGAGTTAGGCCCCAAAAGCCGTTCTGAGAGGAATGAAGGGGGGGGGGGGGGCAACGCGGTGGTAATGTAACGCCGGCTGGTTTATGGATAAACCCTCTGACGACACATCAGGGCCCGTGTACATCGGGCCGACGCAGTAGGTTTTGTGAAGCGATCATTTTTCCAAGAAGCTTCCACAGCACCTTCGTCTTCTGGTGTTTCTCCACCGGGAGACAACGTCCATCTGGGAAGTGAAGCTGAAGCCGCAGGGCCTCGAAGCCGCTGTCCCTCTAGTGACCACCAGGGGGCGACTCCTCCGGTCCTACTGAAGTCTGTGAGAAAATGACTTATTCCCTCAGAGAACATGAGCCCTTTTAAAGAAAAATAAGTGCATGTACGTTAAACAAAGCCTTTTAGTTTAGAACTTTTGTCTCCCTCTGAAACACTTCACCGGTATTAAGACTCTTTCAGACGGACTTTTCAGGGCTTCGTTCGCTGCGTTCGGCAGCCATTGTCGACGCTGGCAGTTATAGGACATGAAAGATCTACGCGTTCTCTTCATAATGTCTATCAGGGTTCCATTGTTCGGTTAAAGCATCAGTTATGTTTCCTGGCAGTTTAACGGTCTCTCTCTGTTCATCAGGCCACAGGAAACAAAGTACTGCTCTCTCTCATCTGTAAGCAAACCTGGCCGATTGAATATCTGAACTTTTGTTCTCCGCTTCTATCTTAATTTCCTGAGCGAGTCCTGTGAGTAATCTAATTTGTTTGTTTTTTAATTAGAAGCTGTAGATGTAAGTCACGTAGGCGGAGCGCCCGCCTCCGGCTACTTTTAATGATTTTTCCCTCTCGGCCGAGCATCTTCAACCCTATGATTCTCCTCTATGGCTTACCACAGTTGCGTGCTCGTGAGTGTGTGTGTGTGTGTGTGTGTGTGTGAGAATTACTCTCAGATAATATTCCTCCCCAGTGGCCTCCGGCCGTCCTCAGACAGTGACAGGGAGAGTAATTGGCCATCAAAGTAATCCAGACCCCTTTCTTCATTCCCTTGCTCGCCGCCGGCGAGCCGAATTAGACACTGAATTCAACCAGGGACATTAAACGCAACCTCTGTGTCCAAGTTGTGTGCGTGCGTGTGTTGGACCTTAACTTACGCGAACACGTATGAGAATACGACAGCGATGCGGCCTCTTCACCTTTCAAGCAGTACACTCTGTGATCCAGCTGAAAATAGCGTTTGGTAACACGATGTGTCTGATTGCGTTAAACGAGGATCACGCCGCAGAAAGTTAGCAAACAACGTCAAGCAGCGACCCGATGGTTGCACATCGCTATTTCATTTTACATACAAGAAAGTGCAGACTTGCATTTCAGGACTGCCCTGTTTGTATGTGAGTTATTATGGTGAAGCAATAAGGGATCTTTGCAAACGGGATTAAGTGTGTTTACGTGGATGAGAAAAGCGCTTTCTGAGTGCTCATTGTGCCGCTTTTACATCCAGATAAGTGGTGAAAAGGACGGAAAGCAACACCCACAAGTCCTGACAGTTATTTATATATATATATATATATATATATATATAAATATGTATATATACATATTATGGGGACATTTCTAATGCCTTTAGCTTTAAAACCTTTGGACTAATTTAGCAAAAAAGGCGTTCTCAAAAGACGTTTGTCTTCAGTTCTCTCCCCGCTCTGAGGTTCCCCTCTGAGGTTCTGCTCTGAGGTTCTCCTCTGAGGTTCTCCTCTGAGCTCCTCGTTAACGCTGTAAGAGAAGTGAGCCCGGAGTATCGGTGGTCTCTGTCATCATCTAACCACCTGGATGAGAGGCGCTAAGGTGTAACTCGATTGAATTTAAAGTCAATACGATGTCCGCTGGCTGACGGAGGCCTCTCCTCCGCCGCCGCCAAGTAATCGCATTTGTGTTTGTACAACGTGGTAATGCGGCGAATCGATAGAGCGGCCGCAAAAGGTCCCGAACGCTATTTACTTCCACTGTGACTCGTCTGAGAAACCACCTTGGAGGCGGACGCGTCATCTCATGACACGCTGAGTGAGACGGGGACTGTTTGTTTGACATTGTGAATTCCTTTTGAAATTAAACTCTCTATTTAAATCGCTTCAAGTTTCGAAACTGACTTTAGTTTCTTCTCTCTCGTTTTCTCAAGTGCTAACGAGACGTTCACAACGACCGGCTGGTGCTCAAGTCCAGATACGAGTCACTTTCCTTCACTTGGTTACTCACATAAAAAAACAAAAACTACTTCACGTCATACAAGAAAGAAGGATTTCTAGAAGCTGGTTTTCTTGTTTTTTTCAGCGATTCAAGCAGCACCGTGGGTTGAAGACGCCTTTTTTCAAGGATATCAAAGTTTTGTAAAATGATGTTAAAGCCTGAAAACAAATGTCAAGGCAAAGGGCATGGATGAGATTGATGAAGCAATAAATCTCAGAGCCGCACTAATCAGTATCTTCATATCAGCCGAACATGATGTGATATGAAAGGAGCCAGAGATGAATTCTTCCTCTCTGCTCAGCTACAAAAAATAAGACATCTTTCTACTTCCAACGTGCGTCCCTCCGCTCCACGATGTGACCACAATATTTTATTTAGTTGTATTAGACTGTAATTTGCAGGCAAATGGGTGAACATCTGTCTCTAATGTTGCTCCGTGGAAATGGACGTGTAATCAGGCAACTGTTTGCCAGCACACAAAAAATACTTTCTGCTGAAGTCTCACTCGTCCGTCTCTTTCCCTCTTTCCCGCTCTTTTCTCGCTCTTTTCCCGCTCTTTTCCCTCTCTTTCCCGCTCTTTTCCCGCTCTTTTCCCTCTCTTTCCCGCTCTTTTCCCTCTCTGCAGGTCCGCCGGTGAACGTAACCTGCAACATTTTTATCAACAGTTTTGGGTCCATCGCTGAAACGACAATGGTAAGCTCAATCATCGTTAAAATGACCTCGTCATACATCTACACGTGTAGATTTTAGATGTTATTTACACGCCACGCACTTTAATTTTTCATTTCCACGGGAAAAAAATGAAAAGCCTTCTGCCCGCTGAGTGTTTGGAATTGCCTTCGCCTCATTGAGCTCGTCTCCCATTTCGAACACTTCATTTGAAGAAGAGCGTCACTGCGGCGGCCATTTGCATAACAACGCTGCTGCAGTCGTGCTCCTTTGCGAGCGACCAGGGGAAATTTACGCTCATTCATTACACAGAAAAGCCATTAGTGTTTAATATAACTGAACCATCAGCCTCACAGAGCAGACATGGTGGCACTGAACTATGGTGTGTGTGTCCGTGTGTGTGTGTGTGTGTGTGTGCGTGCGTGTGTGTCAGCAGGTGATCTCATCAGCCATTGCGTCCATTAATGTTGCCATAATGCGAACACGCTAAACACTCTAGTTTACATACAACATGTTAATTGGGATCTGTTTAAACCTTCTGCAGTTGGGATCTCATGTTATACACAGAATAACACACCGGGTAGATTTTATAATAAAGGGTTTACGGTAAATTTAGTTATTGAAATGTCCCTCCACATCTACGTGATCTCGTCCGTTATCGTAAATAATAAAAATAATATAGAAACATCCAGAGGAAGGGAGGAATATCCTGAGCTCAACCACCCCAGTGCACACACACACACACACACACACACACACGCACACACACTGAAAGTGCTGCCTGCTGCAGATCCTCGTCACGCAGCACAAACTCCGGATCCAAACTTCTCTCTCAACCCAGGGCAGATATTCACGGTTCCCCGTCCCTCGGCCCCTTTGTGACCACTAGGGGGCCTCTTACGGAGGGCTGTCTTTTGTTGGGGGACTTCTATTGTCTTACCATTAGTGCCCCTTTCATTTTGCCCTAAAGGAATGTTCTCATTTCTCTCTGGAACTTCCCTCGTCCTGATCTTAGAGGATTTATTTCCGACGCACCGACCCTTCACCTCCGGGGGAAGAGCAAAGAGAAGCTGTCACAACTCGGATGGCTCGGGCATCCTACGCGTCCACGAGGCCTCGCCGTCTGTCAGACACGGCGACACATCGCTGACGTTGAACCCCTCGGTGATGCCGAGGCTGGAGACGGCTCCGATCTCTCAAACGGCGGATTAGAAAGTTCCGACGTAATTGGATTCATCGCGTTTTCATCAAACCGGAAAATCCATTTTAAAGCTCCGGAGGCCGAGAGCGCCATTTGTCCGTGCAGTATGTGGCTCTCGCTTCACACTCGGACTACAGCATCCCTCCATCCTCACACACACACTCGCACACACACACTCGCACACAGTGCTGCTGGAGCCCAGTGATAGATGGAGTCGGTAGAATGGCGCAGTGCGCGTTCAAGTCCCGGCGGTACCCGGCTTTATTCCTGTTTCAGCGCTCTCCCTGTCCCCTCGCTCGCTCCCTCTTTCTCTCCCTTCCTCACACACACACACACACATACAGACGCACACACACACGCACTCACGCAACCCCTTCCTCTGCTTCTTCATCCCTCTCCTCCACTCGTTTTCTCCCCCCTCATCCTCTCCTTGTAGGAACGAGCTTGTCCTCACATCGGCTGTTAATCCCACACTTGAACATGAAACGCAGAATTCTGCTTCACTTTCTTCACTCACGCACACACACACACACACACACACACGCACACATCAAGTATCACTTGTGGATCAAAGTGACAGTACCAAGACATTTACACCCGGTGTAGCATTATTCATAGGGAATACGAAAGACATCAAAGATTAATTATAAGAAAAAGAAGGAAGAAAATGTAATAGTTCTCATCCCACTTAGATCTTTGGATTGATTTGATGTTCATATGTATTGTTATTGATATGCTGAAGACCCCCTGGAAAAGATTGAGATCTAGCGCAGTTGGACCCACCAGCCCAATGTGTATATTGACAATAGCCTGTAAATCCTGATCTGACTTTGTAGCGTATTCACCTCCAATCAGACGTTGCAAAGACGTCAGCCCTTGTTTGTATGAAAAATGAAGTCACCAGTCAGCTCAATCTGACCTCATGCAGGTTGTTTTCATCGGGCTAAAACTCACTAAAACCTTCCTGACCTTCTTCTTTATATAAAGCTTGCGTTAATGTCACCCGAATCAATAACAACAGCTGTATGTTTGCAGCTTTAGTGGTCGTTCAAGTCAAAAAGAAATCTGACAGAAGGAAAAGAAATTGAAAATGTTTTACAAGGTCAGTGTGGATAATTCCATAATGTGACCTTTATTTGAAAGTAAGCACGGGCTCTATTATATCTGCAAACTGCTTCAGTCTCACAATTCTGGCCTAAGCATCAAATAGCTCAAGCCACTTTTTAATCTTTGGCTGTTTTTTTGTGAATCGATGGGACGTCCCGCGGTGCCTCATTCCGAGGCCACGCGGCGGGAAGGAGACACCTTTCTCTCCCCCTCGAGTGTTTGTCTGAGCTGAGCAGATGTGGCGCCATAATGCGCACGCCTCCGTAACCTCCCACCATCTCCTCCCCACCTGAGCGGCGCCCTGGGAGCCGGCGGGATGTCGTGACGGGCCTGAGACCGGAACGCGGCCGCTGCTGCTCATGTGGTTTTGCTTGTTGTTGTTGTTGTTGTTGTTGTTTTTGGGGGGGGAAGACGACCAAGAGGAAGAAGGGGGAGTGAGATTGCAGTCTCCCATGCGCGGTTTACTGCCCGAGTTTAATGCACGGCGAAATGAGTGCGGCGTTGTGTAAGTACAGCGTTTCCTCTGTTAATGGTTTCGTAGCAGCGTGGCGGTGGTGGGTCGGGAAAATTCCAGGGCAGCGTCTCACGGCCCAACGGCCTGATGTCAGGATATTAAACCGCTGGCGTGAACCTCCAGATATTTCCCTTTTAAACTCGACGCCCCGACGCAGCAAATGTTCGGCCCGCAGCCGCCTCGTCGTCAATATGTCCGTCCATTCGCGACCCTGCATCTCTCCTGATATCATTCATCTGCACCCGCAGATTACTCTCCCCTCATTTGAATCTGAGTGCCCCGTCCGGCGGCCCTCTCACTTTATTGCTCTGGATGTGCAGCCGTCTGCAGCCACGAGGAGCCATCGACCCATGAAGCTGACATTCGACGGGCCGGATGACATCCGCCAGATGAGCAGTTTTTTCCTTGAAACAATCTGTTGATTCACGACCTTCGTGATGTCATTTAAAAACAAACTAGGACATGTTTTTACCTTTTTACCCGTGTTATGACGAGCACGAAAGAGTAGCTGGGACGCATATGTCAAACAAACTGGGCTTCCCAGGAGGCCGCTGTTAGTGTACCGCCTGGAACCAAGACGCAAATTACGCTACGCCGTGGAGCTACGCCGTGGAGCTACGTCGTGTAGCCACGTCGTGGAGCCACGCCGTGGAGCCACGCCGTGGAGCTACGCCGTGGAGCTACGTCGTGGAGCTACGTCGTGGAGCTACGTCGTGGAGCTACGTCGTGGAGCCACGCCGTGGAGCTACGTCGTGGAGCTACGCCGTGGAGCTACGCCGTGGAGCTACGCCGTGGAGCTACGTCGTGGAGCTACGTCGTGACCTTAGTCAGGTGTAGCTCTTCAACTAGAAGTCTCTTCAACATAAAGAACCGCTGAAGACTTCAGTAATGCCACATTAATTAGCTTGTCTGACTTTGGAATCATGTCAACACCACGCGTGACCGGCGATGGCATAGATGGCGTTCCTCTCCTCTCCTCTGATTGTCCGTATTTCTCTGCTATCGACGGACGGTCCGCCCCTCCGTTTCAGTTTCTCCATCATGTTGATCCCCAAAACGGTCGAGCTTATTTGTTTCCTGTAAGGTATTCGGACGAACACGTGACATGTGACAGTGTTTCACACACACGTGCAGCCCTGTGGCTGATGGCTCGTCTAAATGCCACCCGCTGGGGCTGCCGGCGCGGCCGTGGGTCGTCCTGGCGATGCTCTTCTGTTACGCCATGCGGGTTAATGATGCTCCGGCCTGGCCGGAGTGTCCGAGCTCCATATTCTGAGAATAATTGACAAGTACGGGGGCGGATGGGCGAGCTAATAGCCACCCCCTTTGCCAAATAAAGACACTCAGGTTGTGGAGCGGGGCAATAGGGGTCGGGCTGCAGATTTTTTACAACAAAGCTCAAAAGTGGGCGGTAGGTCATATTTTCTATATGTGATGAAACTTTGACCCTTAAAGCAACCTTTGGATGCAACTATGACCACTTTTAACACCTTTTACTGTAAAATTACATTGAAAAACTGTCAGCAATTGAAATGTACCGGACACATCCAAGTCTTTGGGTGGAGATTTATCGTAGTATCCATCGATAGTATCCAACCGAATGAATCCCAGCCCTTCTCCTTCAGGCCTTCCTCCTGAGCCCCTCCCCAGAAACACATGACTCCTGCAGGGGGGACGAGTCCACCAGCAACCTGCTACTCATCAGATTGCAGCGGACATATTGATCTTCCAGTTAAACAGCAGAGGCAGGAACTTTTAGAAGCGCGCTGCAGTTTGGATTTAACCTCCATCGACTCACATTCCTGCTGGATGAAACCTTGTAAATCCCACACTGAACTCTGGGCCTCTGGATCATTAAAGTCAAACATTCGACGGGCGTCTTATTTGAACAGGACATTCTGTTGGTTGTGAATTTAACGCTGTGTAGGGTTTGAAAAAAGAAACCATGAAAAGATTTACTAACTAAACTTCAATAAAAACGTCTTCTGGTGTTATTTACGGCCTTAGAAATATACTCTGTATATACTGTATGTGGTATATTAAACCACGGGTTGCTAGAAGTAAAATTGTGTTTATCAATGAGGGAGGACATGAAATAGACAAACACAGCCGACTGTGGGTTGCTCAAAAAAATACATCTTTTGTTCCCAGAAATCCGCCCACTTTATTGCAAAAACAACTGAAGGCTCTGCGAGCGTCTTTGAAAACCTTCCTCCTGTTCATCTTCCCCCTCCCACCGTGTCTCTCCATCCCGCCTTGTTAAGACTAAAGAGGGAGCAGCGGCCCGATGACCTTCAGCCGCCCTCCAGACTCTCCTCGCATCCGTCCACGTGTCCACCACCACCTTTTTTTTTGCCTCTGCTTTTTACCATAAAAATAACCCAACCTTAAAAAGCGCTTCATCCGATCAAACCGCAGCGGACACGAGCCGTCGGGACGGAGTTCAGACGTGAGATCAGAGGAATGAAAGGCCGAGGAGGATCATAAGAAAATAAGAAGTGGCTCACGGCCACAACTCGGCCTGATCGGTAAAGTCTGAGAAAGTGACATATGGAGGAAGACACAGGAACCGGCTGCTCATCCGTCCCGCCCGACCCCCCGACCCCACCGCGAGGAGCTGCAGCATCTCGAGTCAGCGGTGCAGTGACCCTCCAACATCCCTCCTCCGTTTTAAAAGCAGCATCTCCCCGCCGGCGTTCCAGGTGTTTCTGTGATTTATGCTCCATAACTTGCTGCTGGTTTGTCGTAGTTTAGAGCCACGATCAAACCGAAGGGCGGACGAGTTTAAAATAACGAGCAGAAGTCAGTGTGGCCTTGCAAAGCGTGTTGGGATCAAAAGATTCTGATTCATGTTGAATATGAGTCACCAAGTCCTCTCTTCACACCCAGCGTTCAGCAAACAGTGTGAAGCTGGAGAAAGTAGGATATTCTAACTAAGACGATGTGGAGTGACATCACAGGTAAATCCACATTACCGTGTCAGCCTTTCACTCGCCCCACGACTCGGCGCGCATGTGATTCCCGTTCCGGTTTCTCCCTTTCTCTGCAACAGTGACATGTCTGATTCTCACGGCTGCTCCGTCCTCTCTGTCTCCTCCTCAGGACTACCGGGTGAACATCTTCCTGAGGCAGCAGTGGAACGACCCCCGGCTGGCCTACAGCGAGTACCCCGACGACTCGCTGGACCTGGACCCCTCTATGCTGGACTCCATCTGGAAGCCCGATTTGTTTTTCGCCAACGAAAAGGGGGCCAACTTCCACGAGGTGACCACCGACAACAAGCTGCTGCGCATCTCCAAAAACGGCAACGTGCTGTACAGCATACGGTGAGTGGAGGGAAGAGGCGGGACCGTCAGGCGGGCCGCTCCGTTAACTGTGAAGCGCTCAGGGCCCCCGGGGGAAACCCGGCTGTAACTGTGCAATGATCATTTAAAAAGAGATTTAACAGGAGAGGAGGACGGAGAAAGGTTATGAGTCTGGAGGTTGTATTGAAACAATCCGTTATGCAACTATGACGGAAAAAGGAAGGCGACTGCCGCGACTTCCTGTTTGTTGCATTGCAGAGACCTTGGTCCTCGGCTGCGTCGAAGTTGGAGGTTTTTATTTCCTCCGGAGCTCCACTTCCTCCCTCCCTCCTTCTCTCTTTCCATCTCCGAGACATCCCATTCAAGGCTCTCAGAGTTATAGCCGCCTTCAGCCGACAAAACCTTTTAGTCCTCCGGTGGCTGCTCTTCCTCCTCCTCCTCCTCCTCCTCCTCGTCCTCGCTTTTATTGCCTCCGCTCAGGGGCGAATGAGAAAGAGACGCAGCAGCCATGGTAATCTACTCGGCCTGTTAGTATTCCAGCGGCGAGTCCAATCCGTTAGCGGCCTCGTCTCCCTCCTCGGCGTCCGGCAGGAGGCGGGCGGGTTTGTCGCTTTGTAGATATTGTCAGAGAGAAAAGGTGATGTTAATACGTCCGGAGGGAAGATGGAGGAATTGGTTTTACTTTACTTTGTTTGTTTGTCGCTGGGCGGGGGGATGGGGATGGGGAGGGGGGGGGGGGGGTTCTGTACGTCAGGACAGAAAAAAAGTATCTTTTCTCGGCAAAAACAGACAAAAGCAACATAACATGGTGATAAATCGTGACGTCTTTCTGCAGATTTTTGCTTCTAATCCATTTGGAATGTGTCCTGTAGTATAATGTCAGTATTTGAGGATGGGAAGTTGGTTCAGCTTTGACACGCAGCTCAGCAAACAGAGGTAATTGATTTTTTGGACACAATTTGCATCACAATTCATAACTGTTTGTGTTGTCAGATTTTCTTAAATTCCCTGGGATTCACATTACGTCCCTGAAGTCCCTCAACTTCACTCGTGTCAAAGTGTTGAAGTGATATTTGTCGGCACCTCTTTGATGCCGCTGCAAACAGAAGGTGCTGCCGGCTAATTTTAATTCGTACTTTTATTCAATTTGACCGAATGTAAAAGGTCTAAAGACTGACTGACAGATTCTTTCATTAAAGATTATTTAGTTTAGCTGACAAATGGGATCCAGCTGGACTCCAAAGCGTGACACTTCTTTAGGGGTGAGGGGGGGGGCAGCATTGTGTCTTAATGCGGAGGAAATGGAAACCACAGAGCAGTGGGACAGCTGTGTGTGTGTGTGTGTGTGTGTGTGTGTGTGTGTGTGTGTGTGTGTGTGTGTGTGTGTGTGTGTGATACATATTCAGCATCCTGTCAGGGACCAACAATGTGCAGACGTGGCAGAGTATCGCACATCAGGCCGACTGGATCCGTGTGTGTGTGTGTGTGTGTGTGTGTGTGTGTGTGTGTGTGTGTGTGCGCGCGCGGTAGCAGCGGGTGTCCTGTTGGAGCAGAGTGTGTGCGGTCACATCACCTCCTGCTCGTCATGACAACCTGCTGGCGACTGCGGAAACCGGGAGCTGCCTTTTTTTGTTATTATTACATTTAGCTTCTTTCTTAATATTTAGTGACGCAGAGATCGCGATGGATGATGGATGATGGATGATGGACGATGGATGTTGGCCGACGTTAAATAACTTGTTAAATTTTAGATTCAGCCACAAAGTGATTTGACAGATAACGAGCTGCCTGATTAAACCAACACATCACAAAGGAGGCAAAGCAATGCATCATGGGAACCTGATTCATCCAATTATAAATTACCTGTTACAAAAGGGTGAATATGAGAACGATAATAATCAAGCGATCAGTGACGTGCTGTGATGTCAGTAAGAGGGCGGGCACTGTCCGTTTGTCGTTAGGCTAACACGTCAAAACGGTAAATGTTACACACACACACACACACACACACACACACACACACGCTCGCGCATGCGAGCGATCAATATCAAGAAATTTCCAATGAGCCGGAAAAAAAAGACCAGAACCGGGTCCGTTTGGGGCAGTGCTAACATTTGCTTTCACAAGCATTGTAACATTATTGATGACAAAGTCACTCTCTGACCTTTTTGCTTAATTATTGCACAGCGGCCAATTATGTCAGTCAGCATCAACGAAAACACGCAGTGCTGAATATGAAGGCAAATGGCTTCCACCACACTTATCAATTCAATATTACGCCCGAAATAGTTTCTGACTCACCGATTGGTCGATTATTTATACATAAAATCCATCCGCCTGCTCTTTCCTCATGAACACGCCGATCACGGCGTTGTAAACTCGTCTCAGATCCGTGATATCGGTGAACACAGACGTTATTTTGACGGGGATTCCGCTTACAACATAGCTGGCGTAGTGACGTCAGTTGCGCAAATGTCCAGTAAGATCTCGATTTTTATTGTTTTCTTTATATTGAATTTAAAATTTCTTTTTGACGTACGTGTTGTAGAATACAGGATCGCAACACGGGTTTTTAGCAATGAAAGGACGGTAAAAGCAGCTTATTCTACCATTTCTTTGTATTTGATTATGCGTAACGGCTGCATTTGTCGTGACATCTAAACAATTGGAATTACACACATATTGCATATATAACTATAAGAATTAACAGTAAAAATACGAATACAAGTTTATTGAATGAAATTATGTAATAAGTATTTTTATGTTTGAATGCTTGAAGTGTCATTAGTCAATCACGTTGACTTATAAGCCGAATTTCATCATTTCTTTCCACAGCTTTAAGACCATGTGTAGTGATTGAAAGCTACTAAATGGTTCTTATTTTCTCTAATTTAGTTTGTTGTAAGTTTTGGGGAAATTAAACTGAAATGCAAAGCTGTTACGGATATTATTGCTGAATTAATTATAATATAGTGTAACTATCAATTATTTTCAGTTGAATAAATTAGCTGCGTTAAAACCAACTTAGCTTTTTTATAATATCATTATTTAAATTTAGCGACTTTCCAATTTATGGATTAAATTAAAAATAAGTTATTCCTTTATTCAAACATTTTTTGGTACTCTAATTGGTTTAATTTAACTTAAAAACACAGATGATTACATTCCTAATTTAGAAAGAATCAAATACTGCGCCTGTTGGGTGCAGACGAGCAGAAATACTGTCTCACAGTTTCCAATGTGCAGATATCTCGTTTCAAAATGGAAGCCTTTAATTCCGCCAATGCAACGAATCGGTTATCACGTTTTTTTTCCCATTAGTTTCTGGGATGAGTTGACTTTTTTTGACACATTCCATCCACGTGACAGCAGTAATTAATTTCGCCGCCTGAGACTCAGAAGTGTAACGAGTTGCCACGGCGACGACGCGTGACCGGCCGGCTCGGGAACGTTTTTTATTTTCTTTTTTTCAGAGTTTCACGGATCAGCGCCGCGTGAAACAAGAGTCATTCCCACGTGTGCAGGTTCTGATCCCGTTGGTCCTCCACCAGAGAAGAAGAAGCTGCTTCCTGTTGGGATCAAACGGCGTTTAGGGATTCGCTCCGGAAACTCGAATCCCTCCACATGTGGTGCTCTGGGGAGTGTCAGCAGAACTGCTGTGTGTGTGTGTCTGTGTGTGTGCGTTTGTACTCGCTGCTTGTGTCTTTCCGTGTCCTCTCTCGCTAACAACTTAAAAATAATGTATTTCTATTGTTGAATTATTTAATCAATGACTGTTTCGATGCGATTTAATCGGGGTTTTTTAATGAGAAAAAGGTTTCTGCTTTCATCAAGTTGTCATCGGGATTTAATTCATCCCTCAAATCTGTGATGTGTGATCATTTTTTTCTGAGTAATGTATTTACACTCATTTATCTTCTGAAATGCCTCTATGCCTCAGCATAGAATTATATGTTTATAAATGGCTGCTAGTGACATTTTCATTTCAGTTATTGTTGTCTTAAAAACGGCAAAGGCAACACCTCATTGTTTTTTTGTTTTTTTTTAATCCCCCAAAAATACACGTTTAATTCCTATCAATTTCAAACAGGTGCTGATCCGTCGCTGCTCAGCGAGGCGGCCCGGATGAGTGACACTGATACCGCTCCGGATAATCCTCTCAGTACCGACTGATGCTGAGTGTGTGTGTGTGTGTGTGTTTGCAGAATAACCCTGATCCTGGCCTGTCCCATGGATCTGAAGAACTTCCCGATGGACGTCCAGACCTGCATCATGCAGCTGGAGAGCTGTGAGTCATCACACGCACACGCACACACACACACACACACACACACACACACACACACACACACACACACACTCTGCATCACTTAGTGCAGCACCTCACTTAAGCACCACCGGCTGCGGCGTTTTTTCATCAGGTCGCCGCTGCACAAACCAACTGAGATGGAGAAAGAGACGGTGGGATTTTCTTATAAAAAAGTATATTTATAATCTAAAATAAGTACATTTGAAACTGTAGTAAAGTCCGACAATGAAGTCTATATTGCGTTTTGTTTCATTTCCTGTTTCATGTTTCATGTTTCATTTATTTTCTTCCTTCCTGTATTTCAAACTGTCTTAACCTCCTAATTTCTTTACTCACTTATTTGAGTTTTTTGTCTCCATCCATCTTCTTTTACTTATTCAATTCTCCATTTCTTATCTCCTTCGTATTTATATTTATTCCTGTTTATTTCAAGGGTCCAAGGACAGTGGACGTCATTACAGATTGTAAAAAGCACTTTGAGGCAAATACAACAAGATTGACAAAAACATAAATCCATAAAGCGCCTTGGATACTCAAACACACTTCACTCATGTGAATGATGCGCTGAAAGGTTAGAGCGCTCTTAGCATCACATCAGCTTGTGTTGAACTGGTCAGAAAGATCATCTTCCTCCTCGGGGGGGGGCACATCACAAGTGACCCACACAGCAGTCTCACCTCGTGCTCCTCGCTCTCTCTCCTCCAGTCGGCTACACCATGAACGACCTCATATTCGAGTGGGATGAGAAGGGAGCCGTGCAGGTGCACGACGGCCTGACGCTACCTCAGTTCATCCTCAAGGAGGAGAAGGACCTGCGCTACTGCACCAAGCACTACAACACAGGTGGGTGGTGCCCGTCCTCCTCCTCACGCCGCCACAACCCCCCCCCCCCCCAGCATCGGCAGCCCAAACCAAAAAGGGTGCGCTTGATATACATACGCGGCAGGGAGAGGAGCGCGCCTTGTCTTGACTGCTCCGCTTTCGGCGGAACACGTCGGCTCGTTTTATCCGTGGAAAAGGAGGCGAGTGTGAACGTTGTCGACGTGAGAGTTTGTCTGGGATGAAGAGGACCAACGCTCCTCCAACTTCCTCTTCATCGCTCTCTCTCCTCCCAGTCGACACGTTTCCCTCCCTCCGTTCTCTTTGCTTTCTATTTGCAGGATTGACTTTGTGGAAGCAAAGATGAGAAGGAGAGAGAGAGAAGATGTGTGTAGAGGAGCAGAGGAAGAGTGAAGCAGAAGGTTCTGTCTAACGAATGAGAGAAGATCTAAATTCAGAATCACACCTTTGAAATGCTGACAGGACTGAGCACTGAGATGCTGCATGAATCACAGGCAGAATGTCGTTTTTTACTTGTAGTGTGGAATTAACGGAGGAATACTGAACGTTATTCCCCCAAATATTTCAATCTTCTCTTCTTTTTAGTTTGAGTGTGACTCAGAGAGGAAAGTTTGTTTAAGCCACAATCTCCAAATATAACTGTAATAATTATTTTCACTTTCAAAGTTTTACAAGTTTACTTTTTTATATCAAACATTAAATATTCAAATTTAATATTTTAGAACCAGCTAAATTTCACTACGGAGGACGGGGGGGAGGGGCGGGGGGGGCGGGGGGGGTTCCACCCAGGTGCTACAGGTGTGGTAGAAAAGCATCTGTCCAGTCCACCTCCGTCCACAGTCCTTTCCCTCCAGAGAAAGAACAGCATGAACGAGATGTACGAGATGTTTGAGATGTAGTTGGACCAGAGCAGACGGAGGACATTTGGGAGGGATAGTAGAACATGATTAAATGTGTTAAAGACACGGTGGGAAACCACCATGTTGTGTGTGATCTGGGCCCCCGAAGCCACAAAATAATGTGTCATGTCTAACATTTCAACATATGTCAATCCGGTTCATGAAAAATGTTCAAAAATCATTTGCACATTGCTTATTAGGGATTAAAGCAATCAGAATTATATCTGATATTTACAGAATAAACAAAAACAGTTATTATTCTCTATTTAACTGTGAAACAATTTTTCCGATCAACAAACCTCAAATATAAAACCAGAGAAAAAATAATTCTTCATCTCACAAAAATACAATACTGACAGGTCGTGGTGAAGACCATCTCCAAAACTCCCTCCTCAGTGGGTGTGTGCGTGTGTGTGCGCGTGTGCGTGTGTGTGTGTGTGTGCGTCTGTGTGTGTGTGTGTGTGTGTGTGTGTGTGTGTGTGTGTGTGTGTGTGTGTGTGTGTGTGTGTGTGTGTGTGTGTGTGTGTGTGCGCGTGTTAGCGTGTGCACACGCCTCGCTGCTTCCCAATCAAGCATTAAGAGAGAATTAAGGTGTCGTTTCTACTCAGATTTATTAGCTGCAGTCGATTGTGACTCTGAGAGGGAGAAAGGGAGCATTTACCTGCTCTCTCTCTCTCTCTCTCTCTCTCTCTCTCTCTCTTTCCTCTTCCTCATCCTCATCCTCCTCCCTCCCTTCCAAGTGAACTGCGGTCTTTTATTTTATTTCTCTTCCCATCCCTTCAATCCACACAACACACACACACACACCACTGGAAAGAAAGAAGCTCCGTTGGAAAATACTAATGAACTGTTTCTGGCTGCATTGCCGAGGCCTCTTATAGTGATGTACCGCTTTGTGTTAAGTATGTTTGGGTTCTTGAGGCATTTTCAACACATAAAAAAAGAAAATGTTCGTATTAAATTCTACTCTCAGTCGGGTCTATCTCTTAATGCAGTGTCAGCGTCTCCATGGAGACGCAATGATTTACGGTCCCAGGGCTCACGTTCACTATGGAGCTATTAAAGCTAACGTTTGTTAAAGCTAACATTTGTTAAAGCTAACGCCCCGCTACAGAGAGAAAACGGGTGGAAGCTATTTCTATTGGGTTTGTTTTTAAATGAATTTAACTCAAGACTTCCTAGATTATATTTTATTATCTGAAACGACACAACGAGGCGTGAAAAAAAACATCTCCTGTCAATCAAAGGGCCCGTTAAACAGCGGGGCCGTTAGCTACGCGCTAACGCCGGTGTGAACGCTGTGACGATGACGTCATACCGATGGTTAGCAGGAACCGGCGGCTATAAGGTGAACACCTAGTTAGCTAACGTGTGCCTACTAGTAACACACACACACACACAACTGGAATCCATTCTGTACATGACAAAGTGTGCAGCACTGAACACACACACACACACACACTCCACAGTGAGATAGAACCCCGAGAGAATAAATTCAATCTTCATTTCAGGTGGAAAATATGGACAGCACTTAAAAGCTCTGAAGTGTATCACAGCTATGAATCAAGTCCCCCAACGTCACATTGACTCCTCTCTGCGGCTTTCCCCACTCCCCTTTCTTCCTCCTCCTCTCCTCCCCAGTCGTTTAGGGTTAACTATAATTGATGAGGCCGCCTTCCATCGATCTCCTTGATTAAATGGATCGTCGGCCATCTTGCTCTCCAGCTCTCCTCGCGGTTTGTTACGGGCGGCGGCGCGCTCATTACATTACAGCAGGACAGAGAGGCACATCTGCAATGTAAATAAAACCTCTGCAGTGTGTTGATTTAATTATCCGTGTGGCAGATTTTTGTACAGACCATGCCACTTATTGTGGCTCAATACTCGACAGACGCTCAGATCACCAGAAGCAGCCTTTCGTCGGAAACATTTTACTCTGCATGTCGGATCGTCGACATCGTCGCTTTGACCGGATTCTGTCGAAAAAAAAGATAAAAACTCCTCAGAGCAGCTAGAGAAGCTGTGATCGACTTACAGTGTGAACATGTGAGGTTATAAACATGTTAAACAGCTTAATACACAAAGCACGTTGACCCTTCTTTTTCTCTCATGTTGCCGTTTGGGGTTAAAACTGACGGCCGCGAGGTCCAGAAACACAAAGCGAATGACGGCAAAGCGGCACAGATGGACGTAAAAATCACAAAACCGTTTTCACCTGCGCGGAGGGATTAGAGGAGCACATTCCTCCTAATCTGCGCCGGCGCTGCGAGCGTAAACAGCCTCTGTTGCTTTCCCCGCCGCGGCCACACAAGGACGAACGCCGCTTCTGGCGGAACACGACAGGCAGCCGAACGGCCGCCGAGGGGCCGCCGTGCTGTGTAAAGTGGCTCACTGAGAGGGGGGGGCGGTTCCAATAAAATTATGACCAATCCGGCTCTTAGGGATTTGTGTGAGTCTTCTGAAAAGGGGGCGTGGGGGTCGTGTGGATCTGAATCTGAGGCCTCCTGAGGGAGCCGAGTGGGTCAGTACTGTGACGAGCTTTTAGCACCAAATGTTTTCTTCATGTTTCTTGAGTCTCGTTGACGTGAATCTCCGCGTACGCTCGTGGAATGTAAAGTGCCCGCGGGTCACGTTGCAACAGACAGTGCGGCGTCACAAAGGGATTCTGAAGTCGCTAAACCGGCAATCACGAGACATGAGGAATCCGTGTAATTCTCAAAGCGCCTCAAAGGGCTTCGGAGCTACGTATTCAAATTGGGTAATGAGCAGACATTTGGTCCAAAATTAGACCTTTTCGATGCAAATTGCCAAAAAACGTCTCATTTGCAAGCACGGCCATGAGCCGGCTGAGGCACTGGGATATCTCATCATCACATCACCTCCTCATTGTCTGGCTGTTTGCAACCAGCAGTCACACGAGAGGGTGAAGCAAGGTACAGATATATAGGTGACGAAATGTTAACGATTAACTCTCATGGCGCAAGAAATCACTGTGAAAGGAACAACGCTGTAAGATGTCAATCACTGTAAGCCCCCCCCCCCCCCCCCCGCCCTAAAGTATACTCTTCTTTTTGGCCTATTTCACACATTTGATGTTCAAAAATGTTCACCAACGGGGTTTGGTGTGTTTAAAAAAACGTCCATTAATAAATAATGAGAAAGGGTCAAGCGTCCACGTTAACTCGGGCATTAACGAGTCTGATAGATGGAGCATTAAAGCTTAACATGGCCGCTTGGTCTTGAATAGAAATGACCTCTGTCTGCGGCCTGGAGGGAAGTCACTAAATTGGTTGTGTAGTGTGTGTGTGTGTGTGTGTGTGTGTGTGTGTGTGTGTGTGGGTGTGTGTGTGTGGTATCTCTAACTAGTTTTGTTCTTAGTCCTCAGAGAGGATGAGGATGTTAACCAGTGTCAACCAAAGTGTGTTCACCATGCGAAGAGTTTATGGATTTTTACTTTCCTTTTTCTCATATTCTCAAACCAGAATATTTTCCAAAACCTGACTAAGTAGTTTTATTGTCTAAATCTAACTTAAGTCGTTTTACAGTCTTAACTAATCAAATTGATTTATTGTGTAAACCAAACTGTTAAGTTGTTTCCTGTTTATAACCTCTATACATCAATGCACTGGGTGAAATGAACATCATAAATGAGGGGTTACCTCTAGTAAGATATCATACAAACCGCTTTAGAAGGATACGTGTCCATACTTGTTTAATTTAGTTACCCCAACCCCCCCCCAGGTAAATTCACCTGCATCGAGGCCCGTTTCCACCTGGAGCGTCAGATGGGCTACTACCTGATCCAGATGTACATCCCCTCGCTGCTCATCGTCATCCTGTCCTGGGTTTCCTTCTGGATCAACATGGACGCCGCGCCCGCCCGGGTGGGCCTGGGCATCACCACCGTGCTGACCATGACCACGCAGAGCTCCGGCTCCAGAGCCTCGCTGCCCAAGGTGAGGACGAATCAAACGCACCTTTCCCTGTTCGCTGTGTCCGACGTGACTCGCTGCTCCCGCCTGTCCTGTAACAGTTACAGCCTGGATTTCATTATTGTAATCACTGCTTTCCCAGTTTAAACAAACTTGTTAATTGTTGAAGGTGTTGTAGGATGTTTGTTGTGTTTCGCACAGAGCCAGACCAGCCGTTACCCCCCCCCCCCACGCCCTGTGCTTATGCTAAGCTAGGCTAATCGTCTCCCAGGTCCAGGTCCCGTAACTTCCTATTCGTTACACCAATGCAAAAAGTATGAGTGATATGAGCATTCGATAAAAAAAATGAAGTGTCCTCTGAAATCAGTTTTTGAATAAAAATCGCTTTTCAGATTAAATGTATTTTTGTGAATGGAAGGCAAAAGAATAAAGAGAGAATAAAGTGAGGCAGGAGAATAATTCCTACATGTAAATAAACAAAGTTTCCGGTTTCTTTTCTCGGTGGTTTAAAAACAAAAGAATAAAATAATTTAGGGAAAGGATGAAAAAAGAGAGGAAATTCAGGGGAAAAAACTAAGAGAAATCTTTTCCCCTGAGGGATTTTCAGATTAAAGGAAGAAAAAAGAAAAAAAAATGGCCAGACCTCGCGTGAGCAGGGATTGTATAATTATGTCGAGGGAAGCTGTAATCCCCAACACACACACACACACACACACACACACACACATACACACACACACGCACACACACACACACTGTATTTGTTGACATTAGGTGTTTCATGCGCTCCAAAAATTGAACAAGTGAACCGTGATTCCTCCGCAGTTCAGCTGTCACAATAATGATCACACAGCACAGCTGAGCTTAGGTGGGCATACTGCAAACACACACACACACACAAGTACATCCGAGTGTGTGTGATTGATAGAAGACGCACACACAGAAACACGGCTCGTCTCTCACGCCTCTCAAAGGAAGGATGAACCACGTCAGGCCAAAGGCAATGAGGAAAGGAGGTGAGGAAGGAGAGGAGAGGAGATGTGCCAGTGTGATGTGTTTTAGCGCAGCAGGAGAGCTGCCACACAATAAGCTCTGAAAGACTAAATTACACAACATCAGCCTGAAAACAGCTTCTGATCCTCCAGATGAGCGTCCCTCAAAGTAAAAGCACCGCTGGGGGCGCCGCTGCGTTTTTTGCTCTTAATCTCAAACCGGCACCAATATCATTTAAATCTTCATCTATTAATCCCACTTTCAAGTCCCGCCCACACTCGCAGATCAAAGATCGACCAACTTCTGTTGGTACAAAGTATTTTTTTTATTCGGTTTTCACTTTGATGATATTTTCAAGCATCAAATCCAAATCGTAACGAGGAGCAATACCGACTGAAACGGGGAGAAGTTCTCCAGCTTATCATTGACTGTAAAACTGAAAGGACAGCAGGACCCAAACTGATGAGAGACACGATTGGTCGTAGCGCTCTCCCCACACCTGCTCCGTTTACTGCACTCGGTGGTTTCCTTCCCAGAATGCCTTTCAGCGCTTTTCAGAGAAGGAAGTAATTTCTTCATGGAATGATGGTTTTTCAGGCAGGAAAAAGGGATATTTAAAGGGATTTTTCACAAAAAATATAAAATAGCTTCATGGAAACTCTCTCTCCGGCGGGATGACCATGAACCCGAGTGAACCAGCCGACCGCGTAGGCCTCCGATGAGGCGGGATCGGGAAGAGGCTTCGTATACGGGGAAAGACGTCCAGAGTCAGAGTTTAATTGGATCTGAGGCGGCCAATGGTGGGCTTTCTCCTCCCCGTGCATCGCAGCGGGGATCCTCCCTCTCTGGCGGCGCCGTGCGGAGGCGGCGAGTTGCTGTGACAGGCCGGGGCTGAATCCACTTGAATGATGGCACTTGGCGGGCAGATAGCGATCAGACGATGATCCGAGCAGACTCCGTTTAGCGCGTGCTGTCCGCACAGCCCCACACTTCACTGTGTGTGTGTGTGTGTGTGTGTGCGGAAGCTGCTGACACTCCACCGGGTTTATGTGCTGATTCGTTGCCTTTTCTCCATCTGTCTGCTTAACTATACGCACTATAGTTAAGCAGACAGATGGAGAAAAAAACATGTTCATGTAGTAAATCATTCCCACTCTAACAGTGTTTTAACCACTGGCCTTCAAATGACAGAGCAGCATTCTCTCTAGTGGCCACCAGGGGGATGTCATCGGGTCCTATAGAAGTCTATGAAGAAGTGACTCTGCGTCTCTCCTTATTTATTCCCTCAGTAAACATTGCAAACATTACATTATGGTCTCAATCTATAGTTTCAAGTCTTCTTCAATACAGCATGATGTGCATTTAGTAAAGTAAATTCTTCAAAAGGGATTTTTCAGGGCGGGGCTACACGCTGATTGACAGGTCCCTACTATACCATGAATCAGGGGATGCTTTGGGGCGGGGCTACACACTGATTGACAGGTCTCTACCACCCTGCCTAAGAATTTGTTGTTCAGTTACATTACATGTCATTAGCGGTTGACTTAACTCCGCCCTCTCGGGTCACTTTTCTAAGTAATAAACAATAATATGTAATAACACGTTGAGAGAAAAATGGAGATGAAAATCTCCTCATAAAGGCTTTAGAATCATTCACATAAATTATTATTATTATATCATTATCAAGACAGTCGGAAAAATGGTTTTTAACTTGAAGGCAACCCTACTTCTGCGTCACTGTGATGTCACTTCCTGTTTCACACCTGCTCCTCCCTCCTCCACAGGTGTCCTACGTCAAAGCCATCGACATCTGGATGGCCGTGTGTCTGCTGTTCGTCTTCTCCGCCCTGCTGGAGTACGCCGCCGTCAACTTCATCGCCCGCCAACACAAGGAGCTGCTGCGCTTCAGACGGAGGCGACGACACGAGAAGGTGAGCGCCTCTGCCTCTAAGACAGGAAGTAGTTCAGGGGCAGAGATCTTTTGAGAAGGAGTAACCAGACGAGTTTTTCACACTGGGGCCTCGGCTGGGCCCCGTTTCCGTCTGCGAACACACAAACAAGTGTCTCCAAACCAAACAAATGTGTGTGTTTTTGAGGGGAGAATGAAACAGTCGAGTTCGTCAGGTGGTCGTCGGGGCGACGCTCGGCAGCGTAAACACGAGGAAGGCGGTTCTGATTGAAAGATTCAGCGCGGGGGGGCACACACGGGTCATCCATGTTTCATCGAGCTGTTTCAGCGAGGATCATCATCGATTCACAGCGCAGAAAGCAAACAAAGCAATTTTTACCTCGCCTGAGAAAGATTTTTGTGAAAATGCAAGAATTACCAGAGATGGGAGTCTGTTTTGGGTTTTAGTTCAGTGCTCAGTGGTTTATTATGTTTTAGAATTCTAATATGCTTTAAAAAAACACTTTCTCAAATACGGCGGTTTAAAAATAAGAGGCTCTGGGTCTATGCCTTAGCGCGGTGGACCCCAATCTCACGGTCACGGACCGTTTTTATGTCAGACAATATTCAGGTTTTGGAGATGTGGCGGATGAACATGACGAAATAACCAGCCGGTTAGTTTGTCTGATTATTATGAAAAAATATAGAAATCAACATGGACAGGAAGCGCTGCAGACTGAAAAGCTCCTGAACAAATACTGGATTTTGGAATTGGAACCAAGCAGCTGCAAATGCCAAATGATTGACACTCTTTATGCTTGTTTGTACGAATGTGTAAACAAAGCTTCATGCAGCACTGATGCACGTAAACTTGGTGATGACCAACAACCTGTCTCTGTCTCTTTGAGATCCAAAACACATTTACCATCCTCCTCACTGAGAAGCGCGCTTTTTATGTAACAAAGACAAAGTGGAGACCTGGAAATATGTCCGTTTATTTAATTCCCCCTTAAACTGACTTGGATATATTTAGTAAAAATGACAAAGCACAACGTCAAGACGCAGCGCTGAGATGCATCAGGGCTTCTCTTCTCTCTTCCTCCGCTTTCTCTGGTTTGTTTTGCCTTTAAAGCATTTAATCAATCAATTCTACTTGTCTGGTTGGATTCATCAGCCCGAAGCTGCTGCATTGAATAAGGAGTAAAGCTGTCAGGCCTGCAAGGAATGTTGAAGAGATGGTTGATTGTGTGTGTGTGTGTGTCTGTGTGTGTGTGTCTGTGTGTGTGTGTGTGTGTGCGTGTGAAATGGAGAGACCGTATCCTTACAGCCGGTGAGGATGCATGAGTGCCTCCGTGAGTGCTGTCGTGCATTTCGCCGTTGTAGGGCATGTGTTCGTGCTGCCGCGGCTGCAGCTGCTTGATTGCATTCGACACGTTTTAGCGCGTGTGAGCACGTTGGAGAGTTTCGGGAATCGCGAGGATCGAGTGTCCTCGCAAGTCCGGGAAAGTCACGGCGCTGCTGTGGAGGGAGGAAGTTTAGGGTGAAGGATGGAGAGAGGATCCTAGGTATGTTTGACTTAGTGTGGCTATATTCTTCTCTATGAAATGTCTACAAATACTAGGGGGGATGTCCTTAAATATATTTAAAATCAATGAATAAGTAAAGACTATATTATGCATAACTATTTATGCTCATGAGGATCATGTTTCATGATCAAAAACTTCTGAATTGTCACTAAACAGACCGTGTAGTAATTATAAGAATTTAGAGTAGTAGCAGTAATTTATTTTGTTCCTTAAAAAATGTCCACATAATAAAGGACAATACGGCATCCGATCAAAGGTAAAGAAACAACAACATGTGTGATTGAAAAGCTGCAGCCTTAAACTGATTATAGCTGCTGTTTTTATTGGCATATATTGCTCAGCAACTACAACAAAACTGTCATTTCCCCTGGCGACCGCTGTGATTCATCTCGTGACCACCTGAGAGGACCCCGCCCCCTAGGTTGGGAGAGGACACGTCAGACGTAATCGTAGACGACGGTGGCGCCGGGTTTGATCAAAAATCCTGGAGGGGGAGAGGCACAAAAAAAAAAAAAAAGACAAATATATATATGAAAAAAAGTCTAAACCGTAAATCCTGTTGTTGTAATCCCCTGAGCCGCGATGGGGCTGAAGAGGCGGATTAGCCGTCCGGCTGCCGCTGCACTTCCAGGTGAATGTGCAGAGATGGCGCCGGGCTCCGGATCGACCCACATCCCAACAAGCTTCTGCACGGTTTATTCTCTCTTCCCCTGTTACACACGACGGAGGCTGGGAGGTGAAATTAGGCCGGCGCTCCGTTACGTCATCTGGGTTTCGTCAAAGGGAGCTCGTTTGTTCCGCCGACGTCAGCGTTTTGGTTGTTTTTTTTACACCTGAGAGCTTCTTTTTTTTTTTTTGCCTCCTTTCCTTCGCTGCCGTGAATTGAGGGCAGGAGCCAAGCTTTTTGCTTTAGTGTCGGTCGCGCCACGTGACCGACGGGCTTTTCCAGGCCCGAGGTGAGTCCGGGTGACCGCTGTCTGTGTGATTTATCCACCAGGGGTTCTTCTCCCTGAACATGCGGCGGGGAGGCGGTTGTGTGCGAGCTCACACTTAAGCACTTACTTCTGCCCCTCTGCACGGCGGGAAACGTGCAAATTAAAGACCGAAGATGAAGATTTTATGAGAAAACGGACGCGGCGCCACAGGATGCAGATACGGAGAGGACAAACATCTCCAGGCTTTTCACCAATACGCTGCCTCATCAACCTGTAGCAGCAGAAACAAACGTGACCCACAGAACACTTTGTTTATTAATGTCAGATTGAAACCAACCTTCAGTGGGACACCTTCTAGATTTGAATTAAAAACCACTTTGACGTCATCGACGCGGAGCCGAACTATCTATGTGCATGAAATGTAGAGAGTAATAAAAGTAACATTTGGCGCAGTTTAAGATTTTACAATGTTTGACGTTGTGTCTTCCTCATTGGACTGTGGTTCAATCCATGATAGAAACGGTCAGGCGATGAAAAAACTGAATTCAACTCCAACAGCGTTCTTAAGAAATAAACTCGCCGTGCAACCTCAACTCTTCCCGACCTTGAGAGCAACAGGTGTTTTCCTCTCGAAAGAGGACTTCTGAGGAAACACAGGCGAATATTTGAGCTATTTAAATTTTGCCGAGAGGTTTGTATAATGTGCTCCAAATGTAGGGATTATTCAAAAGCCTAAAACAGTTTTGAATTCAGCACCTCTGGACTTTTATTCAACAATGAATAAACCTAAATGCCCCCCCTCCCTCAATAAGAAGGAGAGAGGGAGAGACTCTTAATTAAGCTCTCTGGCCCGTCCTAATGTGACTCTAATGTGATCCACGGACCTCCATTACGGCTCTCAGGGGGCCATCAGTCAGGTTCACCCCCCACCAACGGAGGATTTATTGTCCAGTGAAACAAACGTTTGCATTTTTAGTCTTATTGGCAGAATTTCCATTCAGGAGAGACGGTGTCCCCTCACCACATTGAGCGTTCCCCGCACATAACATGCTTTGTATGTTGTGAGAGCTTGATGTGACTTAAATCCATTTCGGGGGACGTGGAGACGGAATCAGAGACCAAAACGGATCTTTGGTGTTTTTTTTATCGTCGTTCCTTCCTGTTGTATCTCCTGCTGCTCCCGTAGGAAATAGCAGAACCCGGACCCCTTCCGTTGACCTTAATGGGATGGAGAAATAGTCATGCATCGTTATGGGGGGGGGGGCTGATATGATGGTAGAGGAACCATTGCAGGAAACCTTAATTTATGTAATAACGACAAATTTGCATCCGTTTAATGCGTGGAGGCTTTGTGATGAGAGGTTTTCTGGGGTTTCTGCCCCGATGCCTCATCGATCAGTGACACCGGGGGAGAAGCAGGGAGAAGGTCGGAGGGGGGTTATAATTAGGAAGGACGGATGGAATGGACGAATACCCGCAACCTTGTGAGAGGGAGGGGGAGCCACGCTCCCTGGCGGAGTGACACCTCCCCCTGCTGGGGGGGAGAGAAGACTGCAGGGGAGAGATGAGATCAATCGCGGCACTCATCCCTGAAGGACGGGCCGCCTGGCAGCAGCTCGCTTGTTCAACACAGACGAGCTCTCCAGGCCGGAGAGGACAGACAGAGAACCCCCCCCCCCGCCCCCTCCTCCACCTCTCCCTCTCCCCCCTTTTTAGGAATCAAAGGGGAACATGGCCGCCTCTCGCCTCCACTTCAGTCAGCGGCCGACTGGCGCCCACGGCGCCGGATGCAGAGTCTGCATTTTGTAGAGCAAGAAAGGTTTCATTTGAATAAATTATCGGGGGGGAATTCTCTGCGGTGCGACGCGTCTGTCGGATGCATCAGAAATCCCAACCGGGGTCCCGGTGTTATTCAGCCCGTGGGGGGCCGGGGGGGGCCGGGGTGGGGGGACCTCTTCTCCTTCACCCCGACCACTCAGGGGAAACAAACACAGGGACGCACATCTTTCTTTTTGGGAGGAGTGGCCTCGAGGGACCTCCCACAGGAATGACGGCGGCCTATTAGGCCGACCGATCTGATGATTGATCGGCTGTAAGCTGTGATTTGGCGTTTTTCCGGCGGGGGCAACTGACAGTACGCTCCAAACGTCTTGATCTCGCACGCTGTTCGGCAGCTTTGAGAAGGAAGCAGAAAAGAGAGCAAGGTGATTAGGAGGCGATCAGCGATCTCTCCCCGGCTGAGCTGAGCCTCCTGATTGACGGGTCGGCTGTGAAGTGATCACACCTCCTGCGTCCTGATTAGAAGAAGAAGAAGAAGAAGAAGAAGAAGAAGAAGAAGAAGAAGAAGAAGACGTCTCACAGACGAGCGGGAAGCACAACTTCCTGTTTCATGGGAGACTGACTGCTGTATTTCCTTCAAGTTGACGTCCATATTTAGGCCTGTTGGACCTTCTGGCCTTATTATGCGCTTTAAAGCGGGTGGATTAGTTTAAACAGGAATTCAGGCTCTCCGTGTTCTCAAGACTCGATTGAAACGACCTTTTGGGCCCAAGGACCAAATGTACATTTCTAAGCACCTAAACCGGATTTTGAAATTTAAAAAAAAAGGTGTCAAAAAGGTTGTGTTAACATGTTAACATATACACGAGAGAAGACTTTCACCATGCAGACGGCTGTTTGTGTCCCGTGTGAGACAAAAGATCACGTTGACTTTACATCATTAGGTTAGTTTAACTCAATACAACTGATCATTCACGGCCAGATATCATCACCAGGTTGGAATTTTATACAGGTTTTATACAATAAGCTAAATGATGCACTATTGATAATGGACATGGACCGGTGTGTTTGTGTCATCATGTGACATCTGACATCAAAGGTTAAATCTAACCCCACATCAGGATGAAATTAGCCCTGACTGACCTGATTTAAATATCACGTTTCATGCATGAAACTAAAGGTGCCGTGGCTTCCACGGAATGTTATTCAGATTAAATGCTAGAGCAGAGCCAGAGACGCCGCAGCAGATCATGTGAATAATCATTCCAGGTCAGCAGCTTGATGAGCGAGAGACATTTACACACCATGTTTTAATGAAACCAGGGAGGCATCAGAGAAAACATTTCATTCAAATGGCACCAAACGTATGACATATGAGCTCGTCTCACGTTATTACTCAGATTATTTGCAGGATTTTCTGCTGCAATTTCTTTTTTTCAGTTGACTGAACTCTGTTACAAACGCTCCAACGGTTGATTAGCGAGGTAGCTGGTTTCCTGCGAGGTTTCCCCATTTGGCGGTCATGTGATATCTTACCATAAGGTACTCCTCCTTTTTCATGCTTTTCCTTACAAAAGCCAGCCGGTCCGTTTCCGCTCGTTGCACGCATGCAGTCTATTTAAAAATAAGTTCTCAGAGGTCATTTTTAACAGCGTATTCATACGTGGATGTCACATTTTTTGTCATTATTTGATTTCATAATTCAGCTTTTTATTGAATTTGCTCTTTTATCTGAACCCTGAGTAAAACAATATATCGCTAATTGCCTCTAAAAAGCTCCCCAGCCTTAAATGATGAGGTGTGCACGGTTCTTCAGGTCGATCGGGACGGAATTAATGAGTGCGGGTTGGTTTTATTAAAAGACCCGTGAGCAGAAATATCCCTTTCCGTGCTCCAAGGAAAGGTCTGAGAGGTTTTATCAATAAGGGGAGGGTGGTTGTTGGGGGGGAGGGGGGTGGTTGTTGGGGGAGGGGGGGTGGGAGTGAGGAGGACCATCATGGAGGGATGAGGAACTACAGTGAAGGAAAGGAGAAGAGGAGAGAGCCACAATCATCCATTCATCATCCATTCATTCATTGTCCATCCATTCATCCATCCACCCATCCAACCATGCATTCGTTATCCATCAATTCATCATCCATTCATTCATTGTCCATCCTTTCATCCATCCACCCATCCAACCATGCATTCTTTATCCATCAATTCATTATCCATCCTTTCATCCATCCACCCATCCAACCATGCATTCTTTATCCATCAATTCATTATCCAGCCATTCATTGTGCATCCATCCATCCATGAATTCTTTATCCATCAATTCATGATCCATTCATTCATTGTGCATCCATCCATCCAGGCATTCTTTATCCATCAATTCATTATCCAGCCATTCATCATCCATTCATTCATTGTGCATCCTTTCATCCATCCATGCATTTTATACATCAACTCATCATCCATTCATTCATTGTCCATCCATCCATCCAGGCATTCTTTATCCATCAATTCATAATCCAGCCATTCATCATTCATTCATTGTCCATCCTTTCATCCATCCATGCATTCATCGATCCATACATTTTTTATCCATCAATACATCATCGATTCATTCATTGTCCACCCTTTCATGAATGGATCCTTTCATCCATCCATCCATCTATCCACGCATTGTTTATCCATCACCCATCATCCATCCAACCATCCATTCATTCATCATCCATCCATCCATCTATTCACTATAACTAATTATTCATGAATCAATCAGAACTATCTGGATCAGGTTTCTTCAGAATGACTGCATGGATGTATCTTTTCTCCTCCCCCCTTCTGCTCCTCTCCCCCCTTCCTCATTGCGCCTCCTCCTCACGTCACCTCCCGCTCCCTCCACATTAATCACATGGCAGGGAGAATAAAGCTCAGCATCTGTAATAGTTTAGCAGCGTCGCTGAAGGACGAGCAGAGGTTGGCTAGCATTGCGGCTAATGTGTGTGTGTGTGTGTGTGTGTGTGTGTGTGTGTGTGTGTGTTAACAGTAATAGATGGCTTGGTGTGGATGCAAGGACAGAACGGGGACACAGGGCACTAAAAATGAATCGCTACCTGCTGCTCTATCTCACACACACACACACACACACACACACACACACACAGACACACACATGGGCACATGCCCTCTCCTTTATGACATTTGGGTTTTAATTGTAGTTCATTTATTGCAGAGGTTCAGTCGTGAAGTTCTTCTGCTGCCGATCACTCTTCCTGCTCTGCTCCAACTTCCTTCTCCTTCTGGTTTTCAATAAAAGCTCCTTTTTCCTTTCCCACAATGCACTGGAAAGATGCCCCCCGCTGATAGACATCCCCACAGGGGGACACAAGTCAAGCTCATGCATGGATTTCATGACATCATCTTTTATCAAATCTTTTCAAAAAGGTGGCTGATCGGACTTTGTCTTCCTTCGTCTGCTAATTTGTTCATTTCATGGGTGTTGTTTTGAGGTGGGGGGCACTTTGCGCTCCGGTTAGTTCCCACACACACACACACACACACACACTCACCGTCGGTATCTCTCAGCCAGTTGCTGTGTTTGTGCTGGAGTCTCTGAAGCAGATAAGAAAGTCATTGTGTCTCCCGTAATGAAAAGGCGGGGGGAAGGTGCAGATGGGACTTCCAATATCTCTGCACACGCCTGAAAAATATTAACTAAAAACACTGTGCACACACGCAGGGAAAGGCCTTGTGTGCAGCGCATGGCCATCAGTTCTAACCTGACCTCTGACACACACACACACACAGCTCTAACGTCTCTCTCTCTCTCTCTCTCTCTGGTCCCGGGCTGCAGGAGGACGAGACAGGCGAGGGGCGCTTCAGCTTCCCCGGCTACGGCATGGGCCCCGCCTGCCTGCAGGCCAAAGACGGCATGGCCATCAAGGGCAACAACAACAACGCCCCGGCCTCGGCCGCGCCCGAGAAGACCATCGAGGAGATGAAGAAGCTCTTCATCGGCCGGGCCAAGCGCATCGACACGGTGTCCCGCGTGGCCTTCCCCCTCGTCTTCCTCATTTTTAACATTTTCTACTGGATCATTTACAAGATCATCCGCAGCGAGGACGTCCACAAGCAGTAGTCGAGGGGGAGCGGAGGACGAGGAGGACGAGGAGGACGAGGACGAGGGGGGCTGGAACACTGCGACCAGGGGACACAGCGCAAACAAAACAAAACAAGAGAAATGATTGCCCCCCCCCTCGGCCTCCTTTCCTCGTCCTCTACAAGTCGAGGTTAAGTCCCTCCTCCCCCCTTCTCCCCTACTAGACAGTTTATGAGATATTTATTGCTTTCTTGCTCCCTTAATTCTCTTCTCCCCCCTCTCGCCCTCCCCCCAAATGAAATCCCCAACTGATTCTGGCTCTTTACACCTCCCGAATAATCCGGACCAGTGCAATAGCAATGCAGTAAAATGCATGATATATGAATGTGGCAATATATTAATGAAAAGATGAAAATCGCCAAAAGTAAAGGCAGACTTTGTCGAGGACGCCCGGCGGACTGTGAGCGGGAAGAAGAGGCGATTTTAGGGTTTCCTTCTTCTTCTTTTAGTTTTTGCCGTGGAGACAGATATCTAATTATATAGTGACGGGATGGGGCAGCGTCGGGTGGGGGGGGGGGTGAGAAGCATACAGCAGTGTAATATAGTCATATATCTATCATTCAGGGGGGGGGGGGGTTGTTAGAAGGACGGCCATCTTACAATGAGGGATTTTTCTCTCCCTCCCCAGAAAAAAGGAAAGGAAGGCGGATCGGTGCTTCCATTAAATAAAGCGATGCAAGGATCATGCATTCTATATATCGAGATTTGCTTCAAACACGTATCGCGAGCACTCCTCAACGCTTCACCGCCCCCCCAAGACCCCCCCTCCTCCTCCTTCCCGCCACCACAAGACCTCGAACTGCAGAGACACTCGAGGGACGATCGTACTGGACTGGATGAAGAAGAAGAAGAAGAAGAAGAAGAAGAAGAAGAAAAAAAATACAAAAAATCCAACGAGAAGCACTGGAGGAGGACAGTGAGACCCCCCCCGCTTTTATTCCATATCGCACTCTGTTGTTTGTTTTTTGGGGGGGGGGGTTTCTACCTTGACTTTACGTGCCAAGTAAACATGTCGCTTGTGCCCCCAGGCCCTCTCCGTTCGATATGAAGAGAGGGGGGGTGGGGCACCCGGACGTCTCCTAAGGGGTCGTTCTTCCCCCCCCCCTCCGAGGTGTCAGTCGACTGGAGGGGACTGAACCACAGATATGTTTACATCTTATTAGTGCTTCCTTGCTTTGGTCCCCGCCTTAACGTGGCACCCCACCCGCCCCCAGCTGAGAGGACATATGTAGTAAACTATACAGATTATAGCACCTGTTGTACCTTAATTGACTTCTTCCATCTCATTCACGCGCTCACCAACTGTCGCCATTTGTGAAAAGCGTCATCTTCGGGCACATGGAGTGTAAATCTGGATTCATTTTTGCCACATTGGACGGGATCTGATCACGAGGGTTGATTGATGTTTTTTTGTTCTCTTTTTAACTTTGCGCCAGGCTTCTCTATGCAATAATTAGTATATGCAATTATGATTTTATTTTTCTTTCCTCAAGCAACTCCATCTCAAAAGTCGAGTTCTTTTCTGGCTCGCTCATCCCACTGCTAACTGCTAAACAGTCTTTGGGGCATACGGACGGGATGTGAGGATGAAGTGGGGAAAAGTGTGGGGAACTTTATGGAGTATTAGACGAGCAGCAGACGGATTGAGCCAAACGTCTGAGTCAGAACTGTGAAAAAAAAGTGTGTAAATGTATTATTTACATAAAATATACAGAGGTTTTAATGCAAGCGGTCAAAAAGAGACACTTTTTTTCAAATTTTTGGCAAAACTTTTGAAACTTTTGAATTGGGTGATAGCTAATCGGCTGCAGCCCCTGTTGTCATAACTCGGCGCTGCTAAGGTCCTGAGAGTAAGTGAATAATTACATTTCCCAGAATGTTGACCTTTTCCCTCCTCACGCAGGATGTAATGAGCCACTTCACTGCAGCAGCTTTGTCAGTACAGAGTCACCTCATGAGTCTTATGTCTTATGTTGACATTCAGAAAATGTTTTATGTTTATGGAAAAAAAGACGAAGGCTGATTATTACATATTTAACTTTACAATCAATGTGTTTAATGTTTGACTTGTTAGGAGGATTCCTCTTCAAATTATTTAAGCTCTGGTCCAACTTGGTTTTGAAGAAAAACCAAAGATTTTTGTTTCGATGTTCTTTTTTGTGTTCTTATTGTTGCCTTTTGCTGCTGTTGTGGGGCAAATGTTCCAGATGTGTTGCAGGATGTGGTATATTCAGTTTGTCTATTTTAATGTGATGCCAGATGCAGTATTGGGTTTGCCAGATTATCGTCAGCTATATAAATACAATTATTATTGTAATATATACATATATATATATATATATATATATATTATACTTTAAACATAAAGTCATATTTTGATATGAAACATTTTCCCTCTACATCCTTGTAATTCCCTGTTTTTATTTTTTAAGGAAGGAAGGTTACTTTTATTGGATAATTCATCCCTATTACCAGTACTTCCAACATTTTTACCAGTAAAACCTCCCATTGCGACTTTCTGGAGGGACGGATTACTTTCTGTTTAAAAGAGAAGAAATCATAAATGGGAGACTTCTCCTCATGAGTACAGTTGCTTCAGTGCGTTAGACTAAACCGAAGGGCTATGCCACGCAGGTACCTCCTTCTCTTCTCATTCCAACATGTTTGAACTTTAAAGGGGAAGTGCCATAGATTAATGCAATAAATGTGCATTTGATCCAGTAAATCATTCCCAGATACACAGATGTAAAAGCTGTGAAGGCCATGATCACCAAGGACGCTTTATCTTATAGTAATATTATATTTTGTAGTTATTAACGATTTGGTCTGAGCAGATTTGTCTGTATTCAGTATTTAGAGTGCAAACCATCCGAGTGACATGTGTGTATTTAACAGTAGTGTGTTTTACAGCATCGGCGTCTTTATCGAAAGGACTGATCCTCTCGAGGAATCTTTAACTTCTCGCGGCACATTTATTCGCTTCTGAAAATGATCCTGAATTACTTTACTTCAACGTTTGCATGCTGAACGGCACAAAAAACGGCCTCCGCGACAAAATAAAAGTAGTTGGGAAGAAAATTGAGCCAATGCGTTCCGTAGCTCATTGACAGGTTATTTGTGTGCAACCGCCATGTTGCTTTCAACAAAAGTATTCTGTTGTTCCAAACAAACGACGGATGTTATTGCTATCTTGAGAGCAACGCTGAAGCTAGCTGACCTATAAGCAACGGATTTTAACGTGAGGAGGGCGGGAAACCGAAAAAACATGCTGCTAATCCTGCTAATGCGGCTGGTGCTGCTAATTCTGCTAATGCGGCTAGTGCTGCTAATTCTGCTAATGCTGCTAATGCAGACAACCAGTAAGAAAAAGTGCAATAGACGTTTAAAAAAAAAAAATGTAAATGCAACTGGTAGAATTCTGACCTTTGAGTAGTCTGGGAAGCAGCATTAGCTTGGTCTTAATTTATTCATGCTGCTTTACTTGAAAGCAAGAACATTTTACTTCTTACATGTAGCACTAAACATGTTCTTCATTCAGTATTCATGATACATGAACCTGCAAAGCAACAGAATCCCGAAAGGTGATTTAGTCTGTTTTTTAATGCGCAAGTAAAAGATTAAAGAAAATAACAAATTTCAGACTTTGTGGGCTGCGTAAACAACAACAAATATAAGAGAAAAGCCTAAATCAATGGCCGCAGAAGAAGAAAACAGATTTAGATTGAGTTGACATTTAAATAGCAGACGTAATCCAGCAGAAGCCTCCTCTCTGATCACGGCCTGAACTCGGTGTTTCCTTCCGTGCCATGGGACGAAATCCCTTCGGTGCAGCGGCCCGTCGGGCGGCAGCAGAGCTCTCGCTCACAGTTTATCTCGTGCCATATAGGGGAGGGGGCCAATATGCAACTGGAAAAACAGGAACGCGGACCTACGAGCATATCATCCATTTATCGAACCACCATTTCTACATGATCGGTGCCCTTTTTCCTCAGGCGTGGGTGTTGTGTGTGTGTACCATAGTCATGTTAGCGCCTCGTCATAGCACTCACACCATTGTATTAAACATTCTTATACTGTATGGGTTAAGGGAGGGAGCGGTTCATAACATGAGAGAGAGAGAGAGAGAGACATATATATATATATATATATATATATGTTTCTGAACTGGATTTTAAAGTAGCATGGTTTGATTTGTCGATGATTAATGACTCTATTGTTTTTTGGGGGGGGTTGTTTGATTCTCTTGTATTTTATTGTATGTATTGTACAATCCGATGCCCTGAGGGAGGAGGAAAAATACAGTGACTTCTGAACTGCTGTGAACTAAAGGAAACAGTTATTATTATTACGGTTATTATATTTATTTATTTATTTTGCACAAGTTGGAATGGCCTTAATTTTGCTTTACTTGCTTCTATTGTGAATTGGCACAAAGTGCACCCCGTTTCATTTGCGAAAAATTTACGAAGCTCATTGCGATGCTTATAATCTGAAAGCAAGATGAAACAAAAAAAAGAAAAAAAAAGAAAAGTTCAGCAAATCCTTTTTATTTTTCATTAATCTGAGAAACAATATTTTGCATGAATATAAATACAATGGCAGATATTTGGCTTGTACAAAAAAAAGTGAAGCAATTTGAAGAGAAAAAAAAAAGAATGTACCATTTCTGCTGTATCTGTATATATCTAAATATTTATTGAAATATGTCCTACTACTAATTCTATTAACGATTAAAGGTTTTCTGAACAAAAATCTCTCTACCTGTTTTTGAACATTGTCAAGGTTGTTGGACTTGAATCTTCTGCTCTCTGTTACTCGACTCAAGGATCTGTGTGATCATTCAAGAAAAAGTATTAAAAATTGCAAATATGTCCTGGCTGTCTTTATTGCCTGTGGGTGACAACAGGAACATCTCATGCTGTCCGTCAGACTTTCACCTCATAAGTTAACTGCCTTCTTGCGTTGTTAACAAACACGTCCAAGGCAGCATTCGTTCTGCGTCTGCTCGGTGCAGAAGTTCAGCGTTTAAAACCGTGATGTCTTTGTTCTGTCCGATTTGCGTGTCCTTATCCGATTGACATCCTGCAGACCACAGTTAAGTTTATTGGAGGATGACATGCGTGTCACAGTTCACCGCCAGGGCTCTCAGGCTCACATTTGGGCCCTTCGTGAACCCATTGCATGCTGACTCAGCCCAAGTGAATTACCCACAAGTCATTGCAATGTGACGTTAAAAACGGGACAACCGGTGAACCCACGGAGAGGTAAAATATGTGTGTTCAGACTGCCATAATAACATGTATACATTTATAACATCAAGGATTGACGATGGAGAAAAATACACATCAAATCAGACGATATTTATTCATCTAATCCAAGTCTCAAGTCGAAGTGTCCTTGAGCAAGACACCTGACCCCTAACTGCTCCCCGGGCAAAATGTAAAAGCCATGGGTTTAAAGTGTACTGTAGGTCGCTTTGGATAAAAAAGCGTCAGCTAAATTACCTGTAATGTAATGTAAAATAAGATTTAGTCACGGAGGCAATTTTAACGGAAAAAAAATGAGGAAAGAGCCTGAATAACATTCAAATCAGAGAGTAAAACATAACACATAAATACCCTGGATTGTAAATCTGATTTTTTGACGTTGTCACGGTGACGTGTTGCAACAAAGTGCTGTCCCATTCATATTTAAACCATTCAAAGGCCTCACAGACCCTCACGCTGAACCACTCAGCGGGTGATGTCAGTTAAGTCCTTGAGGGTCTCGGGGGGGAGGTTGGGATTGGGCCTGAGGCTCTCTTCTTAACGACACTCCTTCCTGCACAGAACTCCCACCGCCTCCCCCCCAAACCGCCTGCTCCTGCTTCTGTTGCTTTGCAAATATGCTTTATTTTTGGTCTGTTTAATACAACAGGCAGGATTCAGGATGTAAATGTTCATGAGCAAACAATGTTGATCTGACGAGCTAGTTTACATCTAGAGGAACAAATTTAAACGATGTAGTGTGACCTCGTACACGCGTGTTCCTGTCGACAGGTGAGTCCCTGAAGTTCTGCGTGTGCACTCGGGGGTCCGGCTGCCAGCTGGACCACAACATGGTGGCAGCCACAAATACTAATAACGTGTCTGTTCTCAGCAGGGGGGGGGGGGCAGCTCACAGACCAGACGACACAGGGTGGGGGCGGCCATATGTTGACACGCGACGGGCCCGGCAGCGTCGATGAGTCCGTCGGGGTCGTTAGATGTGGTGGCTGCCACAGTAATGAGCGTAATCATCATCACACCTCCAGCCTTCCCTCCTCCTCCTCCTCGGACCAGAGGAATCGCCCCCTGCTGGTCAACAAAGAGAATGCAGCGTTAACACACAGGTGAGTCTTATGGGAGGAACGTGTGTGCGCTCCTGAGCAGGAACATTAAACATGGCCTATGTGATTTATGGACGGCACGGTCTCTTCTGCGTCGATCCTCTGCAGAGGAATGGCGCCATTCGCTCGACTTGCCTACACAGAGGTCAAAGGTCGGCCGATGAGATCTAATCTGGAGGGGTGGAGTAGAAGGTCACATGTGGACCTGTGCCAGCAGGGGTTGCTACGGCAACGTGAACCAGCGTTTGAATCAAAAATGATAACCAGGCACGAGGCACTGAGATGAATTAAAGCGTTCCAGTAAAGCAGGAAGCGGGAGCAGCCGAATGGAACTTCGGCAGTGTTTTCTTGGAGAAGTCGCGGTGGTTCATGAGGTCATCAAGCTCACCGGAGACTCTTCTGGTCAAACGCACGCCGGTCAGCCGGTGGCTTTACGGCTCAGGTGATCACATAGAAAGAGCTGCATGAGAATTATATAAATAGCATTTAGAATGCGTTCAGTTACAGCATTATTTAGAACACGGTTGGTGTCCTTAAATACATTTTTACTCCTATATGTTCATGAAAACTTAAATTAGTTAAATTAAATAGAATCTTAATTAATAAAATCTATTGAGATGTGGGAAAAGTATCAATACATTTAAAGAAATACATCTTACACCAGAATAAAGGCTTGTTAGTTCCTCACAATTTAATAAAAATGCTAGAATCTAATCTGAACTCGTGTACATTTGAATAATTCTGTAGTGTCACATGGTTTGTGTGTGTTCTGACTTTTTGTTCCCAATAAGACACAAAGCACAGAACAAACACCGCTAAAAACATGAAGCAGACCAGAAGGTTTAAAACAGTAAATCACTTTTAATTTAGTTCATCGGCAGGTGAGCTCTTTTGTTTTTAAACATGACGAATGAAGTGCATTGGTAGCAGAAGCCCGACTAGGATTGGATGTACAAGACGCGCCCGTGAATCTGCACGTTACAAGCAAACATTACTCAAATAAAAACTACAGTTCAGCTCTTGACCTGATAGAGTAAAAAGATAAAGACCGATCCATCGCTAGATACAACGGTGGCAGCAATACACAGGATTGCCCGAGCAGTAAAGTACACGTTCCTTTAAGAAACAGGGAGAGAACGCGAAAAAAAAATACCTAACCTCTGGGTGTTTTAATCCCCAATTCAAGTAGTATTTACCCTTTTCTTTCTTGTTTCAGGCGTTTGCGTGCTTTGACTTTTGTTTAATAAATTCAAGTTCAGCATGAAGAAAAAAAAAAAAAAAAAATTCAATGGAGACCAGATAATTAAAAACAAAACAAATAAAACATCAAAATGTGAGGAGTGACAGCCTGGATTCCTCAGAGGGAAACGAGCAGCAGGTGAGGAAGAGGAGGAGTCATGTAGACTGTGCGCTCGACCAAACCTGCTTCACACCAACAGAAACCCCGTTAAAAGACTTGTGTGCTCACGTTAAGAGAGACCGAGGGGGGGCAGAAAGCAGCGGCGTCCCAAACTGACTTGAAACTGACACTTGTTTCTGCTCCTAAGCTGCAGCGTGAAGGAGGTTTCTTATATTACACGTTTGTCTAATTGGTTCCTGCTGCAGTTAAAAAAAAAAATACCAAAAACCATCAGTTTAATCCGGATCGTTAATCTAACTCTGAGGGGGGGGGGGGTTGGGTTGGTTCTCCTCACTGGCGCTGGGCCGGGTAGCGGCCCTCGCCGGGCCCGGCTCCCCGCCCAGAGCCAAAGCTGGGCTTCTGTGCCATGCCGCCACGGGTGGGGGGTCCTCGGGGTCCTCCTCCTCCACCGCTGCCTCCGATCCGCTCCCGGGGGCCACCGGGGCCTCCTGGGCCACGGGGCCGGATGTCCCGCCTGTCGCCCTCACGGGCCGACCGGGTCTTTTTCTCCTCCACATTGAGCCGCACGTCGCCTCGGAACTTAATGGGCTGAGGGATTTAAAAAAAAAAAAAAAAGCATTAGAATACGTTACGGCTTCAGAAAGCGTTTAAAAACCAATTCTGACCGAGTAGAGAACAAAGAGCCACATCCATCCTCACCCGGTTGCTGAGGATCTTCTGCACCGGTTCAGAGTCGTCAAACACCACAAAGCCAAAGTTGGGCAGCTTCCCCCCACTGTTGATCCTCAGCTCCAGGACGGTGCCGTACTCTGAGGAACACACACGTTCAGCACCATGGTTCCGATGGTCAGAGAAAACCTCGCCTTCTTAAGCGCCAAAGTTCAGACTCACGCTCAAAGAACTCCTTGAGCTCAGTCTTGTCCACGTCGTGAGGGACGTTCCCCACGAAGAGCTGCTGGGCGTCGGGGTACCGGACGGCCCGGCGACTCTCCTGCTCCCCCTGCTCGCCTTCCCGGACTGAAACGACAACAACGACAACAACAATTCAGCTCAGAGGCCACAGATCCGCCAGTGAGGTAATGCCAGTGATGATGCTGAGCCGGCGTGTACCTGGTCGGGGTCCTCTGTGTACCGGCGGGGGGCCCCCGGGCCTCGGCTCCCTCGGCCTCTGGTCCCTCTGGGGTCTCTGTGCTGCCGTCTGCGACTCTGACTTCACCTCGGCTCTGGGCTGAAAGAGGCAACGCGCTTTGATGAGGACGCATGTGAGCGGCTGCGATTCAAGCTGGTGTCCCGCTGCCTTCCTCTCCCAAATCACCATCATCAGCCTTCAGTAAACCTACCGGTGCTGTGGGCGGGGCTTTGACGACGTGTGGGGGGATTCCTGAGACTGGGACCGCCCCGCTGGGAGGGAGGTTCTTACTGGTGACGGAGGCCCAGGAGAACGGCTGTGAGGAGACACACGACAGCGGAGACACTCAGTGCCGGTGGACAACGCTACAAAGGACAAAGTGATGTCAGAGGGCAGTCGTTGGGACCTACCCGGTTTTCCTCTGGGGCGGCGGGGGCGGGCTCTGCGGACGCAGGGGCAGGCGTGGCGGCGGCGGGCGTGGTGCTTTTCTGCTTCTGGTCGTCGGAGGCGTTTGTCTCCGCCTGCGTCTCCGGTTTCAGCTCCACGACAGCGGGCGCCTTCTCCGGCTCGGGTTCTGGACTCGCCGCTGCCGCCTCCCCCTCTTCTTCCTCTTCCTCCTCGTCCTCGTCATCCCCGGGGATCGCCGGCTCTGAACTAGAGGTACGAGATGGTTATGCAACAACCTGCCTCCTGTGACGGGAATATTGGCAACCAGCTTTATAGATTGAAAGGTTTTCCCAAACGCTGGTAGAAGAAACTCCTGATTCTTCTTAGAACTGAAGATACGGTTACTTTTCCTCCACTTCTACTCGTGGCTGTGCAGTTTCCATTGGAACCACTTAAAGCTTTACGTACCAGGCTGTGGGGGCGTAGAAGGAGGCCGACTCCTCATGAGCGATGTCGGGGGAGGGGACCCTCTCCTCGATGTCCTCCACCTCGTCCTCAGATTCTGAAGAGGAAAAACAGCATGCTAAAATGTCCTCGTACGTTCTAGACAAACAGCAGGGATCTTTAACTCCTCAATAAGAGGCAGCAGTGCAAAGGACGAAGAGGAGAGACTGGACGTGGTCTCACCTTCTGGGGCCTCGGAATCAGAGTCGCTGAACACCTCGTCCTGGTAGCGGAACACGTCGTTGTGGACGTAGAATTTGTTTGCGACGGTTCCCTGGAGAAGAATAAAATAACGTTAGCTGCAAGAAACCACACATGGGGGGGGCGTGGGGGGGGACGGGCGGACGGACCTCAGGCGCCAGCACGAAGGTCTGCATGAACTTCCTCATGGGCTGCATGTTGTTGGACAGCTCGCCCATCACCTGCACCACCACGCCCTCGTTCAGCGTGGCGTGGGCGTCCACGTGCCGGATCTTTGTGTGACATTCGCGGAAACTCAGAGCCATCACCCGCTTGTGGATCTCCTGCAGAGCGAGAGGGGGGGGGGGGGGGGGGGTCAATCAGGACGCTCTCACTAGAATGGTTTACCGCCTGTTCTCTAGCATCGGGTTCATACCAGACAAACCTGACGATGAAATAACTTTCCACTACACACAGACTGCAGTAAACAGTTGCAGGGGTCAGCAGTTCGTACTGTGCCACACCGCCAGCATCCTGCGGCGAATGACTCACCGACTGGCCGTACACGGCCTCCACGGGTTTGCCGTTGTTGTCCAGGCCGCCATGCACGTAGGACGAGTTCTTTCCATAGAACCTGCGCAGACGGACGTGGAAAGAAAAGGACGCGTTAGGTCAACCCCCCAGAGGACCGTTTAAAGGTCACTGACAACAAGCCGGGTGTCCAGGTCGTACCTGTGCAGGTAGTCGGGGGCCTGGTTCAGCAGTGTGTAATACTGTCGGACAAACTCTCGCCCGACCAGCTGGGCACTTGGCTTCTCCATCACCATTTCTTTGGTCAGCTGGAAATCTGAGGAAGAGAGAGAAGGGCTCAACCATCAGGGTTGCCATTAGCAACCATTTTGAGAAACTGCAGCAACAATGGCTGGCCTTTTAAGAGAGGGGTCTTTGTTCCCAGACGTCACTCGGCGGCCAATAACATGTCCGAGAAAGTGATTCCAAGGGGGATCAGGTAAACGTGACCTTCGATTTCACAACAGGCACGAAATAATGACTCCATCATCACGCTCGTTTTGGCTCACAACACAAGGAGACGTCCCCTTTTACAATCAGCAGGTTGTTTTCACACGGAGTGGATACAAAATGACTTCATAGAGCCTCACATTGCAGAGGCTACAAGAGTCACCATTTGACCTTCAAAACGGCGATTTTTTATTTCTTCAACTCCGATGACCCCAAGTCCCCTACAGGGAGCGGAACGCCTCCACAAACCAACGCTGGCTTTGGTGGTCCGAGGTCAGCGCCGTCCATGAAAACGGAAAACGCCAGAACTGGACCGGCGAGAGGGAAACCGGCGGAAAGATGCGGTGCAGTTTCACCCAGTTCCTAAAGACGTTGCGCGTGCGGACACGGCGATTTGTGCGCGAGCAGGATTGACGAGCAACAATATTGTGAGTCTGTCTCGGTTGCTAAATCTGCCGGAGGAATTGGGCACACGGTCCTGACCTACAACGTGTCCCAGAAGTCACATCTTTAAGGAGGACATTTTGTTCCCTTCACTGCCCCCCCATGTGTGTGTGTGTGTGTGTGTGTGTTTACGCTCTTCAAACAGATTCATGTCTCAGATTCACCACTGTGATGCCAGGTGGGGGGGGGCGGGGCATGAAAAGCTGATGCGTGCTTCAACACACCTTCACATTCTTCAGTCCAGCGAGCTTGTTTTTGTGGTGCAGTCACCCACATGGTCTCTGCAAGTCTCTGCTGGTTGATCTTATAGCAGGAAATTAAAGCGGTGGCTGCCTGGTATGTGGAATAAAGTTTTTTTTTTTTTTTAAAAGGCAGCAATGTTCTATGTTTGTTGCCGTCAACAACCCAAAGTAACCACAAAAAAAGAGCCTGGCCGTTCAAGCAGGTCTACGGGATCTACTGCAAGTTTAGAGGATAAGTGTCTTGGTTAAATAGATGATTTAATGGATCATCTACAGCTGGACATCTAGTGCCTCACGATCATATAGCAGCTCTCAAGGAGTCTAAAACCAGCACACCCACTGGTACCAGTGCCATCTTTGGTGGGTCTTTCTCCCACACCCGTCCATCTGTTGTCCGGGCATCAATGATCCACCGGCCTGAGCCAATTACGAGTAGCAGACGGTGTGCTGGGTCCTCGGTGCTAATGCTACCGGCTAACGGCGTGCCGGGGGGGGGGGGGTTAGAAGCTAGAATGTTTATTTGGAGATATGAAGTGCATATGAAGACATGCCTACACCGCAGCAGCCACATCACAGCAGCTGGTGGGAGGACACAAAAAAAAGCAGCGCATGGCAGGCAGACAAAGGCCGCGCCGTGCCCGCGGTCCCGGTGCACTTTACCGGCCTGTAGGCACGCGGCAGCACCCTCCTCCTCCGCCTCCAGCCGGCGGCTCCACAAGACGGTGCGCAGTTTGCGGATATAACGTGAATCCTCCGAAGAGCTCGGCAGGTAACGCGCGGCCCGCAATAACTGGGGAAGAAACCGGCTAACGCGGTGTAGCCTGGTTCCAGTAGAAGCGCCCCCCCCCCTCGCCAACACGTGTTCCGGCCGGTGCCCCGGGTACTCTGCCCCAGTCCTGCGAGGGTGGGTTAAGTGGATTAAACTGGGAGGCAAAACCCGCGAGACATAGGCTGTGGTTTTAAAAGCAAACACACGTACATTAGTTAACTTAGTAAAGACACGAAGAGCGGAGTCACGACTGGATCGTAGTAAGCTAACACATGGGCGGTGGGTATACCCCGGACATTCAAAGTCAAAATACCAACGGTGCTGACGGGGTTTATATTCCAACGTTTCAGCACAGCGACAATTACAATAGCATTGGTTTGTGCTTTCCACTCGGTTACAGTCACGCGTGATGTTTAATTGAAGCACGATCCCCATGCTAATGCTACTAGAATGCTAGCAGCGACCATGTCTTCACCAGGATGTAGACGCGGCCGCGAAAAGCGACCCCGGTAATCCGAGTATCTTATTTGCGCATTTTTTCTAACGGAAGACGAACGACAGTTTGTCCAAAAAACAACTTACCTGTGGGTCAACTATCAAAAAAATCCTCAATCTAGAAACAAGTGATTTCTTTAGATCACCTCGGCGGCAGCCAGAAACGCTAGCGGCTTCACAACGTGCTGGAGTGCTCGGTTACCGGTTTCAGCCCGGCAATCGAACTTGACACCCCGCCTCTTACGAGCGGCCCGACCAATCATATGGAAGCAAAGTGACTCAGCCAATTGCTTTGCCGCTACGGTCGGAGAGGGGTGTATCTATTGGGCCAATGGCATCCCAGTAACAGGCAGAGGTGAGATTGTTTAATTGGCCGGTGCGTGCCGGTTGTCGTTGGAGCTTCGCAGCCAGCGGTGCACCGGCCCATCTTCTCCGCATAGTGGCGACAAAACATTTGGCATTTCAACTGACATCAATCACAGCGGATGACTCATCAACTGACGTACATTTAGATTCGGTGGATTACTGGCGTCAAAGGGACGCAAACTCCGCATCGCCTGCTCTCATGGTCATAATTTCCCCTAAAGATGCAACGCATCCAGCTACCTGCTCTGTTTTCTGTGTCACACGCGATCTCTCCCCGTCACTGCAGCCCCCCTCCCCTGCTCACCTGCCCCCCATCTCCCTGATTAGTCCTGCACTACACCCCATCACAGTTGTGTTTCGTCTAGTTTGCGTCTAACTAATCCACAGTTTAATATTGGCTTGTTCTGTTCTGGATGTGTCTACCTGAGCTGACTGCTCACCTGAATGTCTTTTTTTTTTAGAAGAAGAAGAAGAAAATGTGGCGTTTGGGTTTCGCTATTACGCTCTCTGGAAAACAGGTGCTGTTGCAAAACTATCCTTAAACTCTCACATCATTGCAGGTGCACAGATACTGTGATTAAATTAAGCATTGAATTTCCCCCCCAAATGCCCCTAAACCCTCTGGTTGAGATGAAAATAACCTTACATGGTCTGGGGCCCTGCGCCATTTGTATGAGCTTTGTAATGATTATAGAACTTTTATCACGTTTAAGTCCTCATGACTGATTCTGTCTGAGTATTGAGAATAGACACACTGCATCGGGGTTCAAAGATGCTGCAGTGGATGTTATTCTTTGGATGGTAAAACAGTTAATAGGTTGTTTTTTTAACATATTTAGTGTTTTGTGTGGAGTTTGATTAAAAAAAAGGCCGTTGTTACGGGTGGTCTCTCTCTCTCTCTCTCTCTCTCTCGCTAGGTAGCTCAGAAATCGTGCTTTATCAAGACAATCTGAGATATTATTTTAAAGCTTAGATCGTTCCACATGTTGTATGAATCTTGTGTGGAGAACTGCTCCTTAATCTAATCAGGAAAACACGGCTTTTTTATAACTGAATATATATTTTATAATTGAATATATATTATTTTATTTTTATAATTGAATATATATAAATATAATTATATGCTTTTTCCATGGACATCCACTAGAACACGTGCAACAAGCTCAAACTAAGTCCCCCTGCTGGCTTGAGCCTAAATGTGCAGATGAAAGCAGGTTTAACTCAGCAGAGACATCCAATAGAAGAAGAGCATCCTGTTACAGCTCCGGAGCCACAGAGGGGGGCGGCGGCGGCCTGCTGTTTCACATTCTTGACACCGGGGTCTGGATGACCGGGTGGGGATGGTAGCAGGGTGCTCCGTCTCCCGGGGGACCGCGAGCGGCTCCATGCACAGCCGGGGGCCGGTGGCTTCAACACACACACACACACAGCCGTGTTATGTTGTAAAATCAACGGTTTACAGTGCAGCTTCAGAACAAAATGTTCTTGCCGCCTCTTTTTGTTTCATGGCCTGTGGTTGGTCAGGAAGAAAAGCACATTTTTACCATCTAAACCTTTTTTTGTGAAGCCACAAAGTGCAATACTTAAGTGTATAAATACACGTGTGTACTTCATGTTTAACCTCGAACTGTGTTCCAGCATCCGTGGAAGCACATCCAAATCGACGAGCAGCATTATAACGGCTTATTTCAGTCACAGACTAATTTGTCTTGTGTTCAGGGTTTATTTTAAGGGCCCTTCGTTCTCACACACACATGCTTCCACTCACTGCCCGATTGCACACTTTATTGTTGTAAAGAAACACAAGAAACACGGCCGAGCCACAGCACCGCGCTTCACGTCGCGTACGGCCTGAAGCAAACTAAACTAATCATTAACAAGAATTCAGTTTTCAGATTTAGCCGAAATTCTGCCGACTGAACTGAAACTTCTCACAGAGAGGCGGAAACGTGGACTGAAGCTCGGAGGAGAAAGACGTGAATGCCTGCGTAGATCTTTTCATAGTCTTTTATTCTGGTGAAGAGTTCGGCCGTCTCAGAAGGAGAAACATGTGGATTCTGAGGGGGGGGGAAAGAACTCAGCCTGCGAGACTTTTCCCCTTGTGGAAAGGTTCCAAACAATATATCCTCTTTATTGGTTCAAATGTCAGTACACGCGTGTCCTCGTCTGGGACACGGAATCTGTGTGGAGAATAAAAATGAACAACTCTTAAAGCAGCAGTCAAAAGATCCAATAACCACAAAAGCAAACGCAACGACAGCGAGAGACAAAGAGTGCAGAAACTAGCGGGTTGTTGGTAGAAAGCAAGCAGAGGGAGCATTTATTTAGAAACTTTATTTTCGCCGTTACATTTCGTCTCAAATTGATCTTCAGTCGAAGTCCTGAACAAATCCATAACACACGTAAACTATTGTCAACAACATACGTTTACATCAGAGGCCTTTAGTTTTCTTTACTGGGAATTCAGCGATGAAGTACAGGCTGTGCACACGTCTCCTTTCTAGCTTTTTTTCTTCTTTTGTTTTTTTAGTGGTATAGGCAAGAAATTATAAAAAAAAAACGAAATGAAGAATTTGCAATTAGCACCGCGACTGTGATTTCTTTATTTTTTTAACTTATGGATCAGCACCTCGTCCCGTTAGCAGCGACTACGAGTCCGTTGTCCGCTTAGACGATGAGGTCGTTGTCCACGTCCTCTGCAAACACACAAACGCCACCCGTCAGCACAATGGCTCATTAGGGATATCACATTTTCAAATAACTCCACATTGGTTTCCCGTTGGGTGAAAATAAGGAACAGGGCATTTAACAGAGTTAGTTTTTATTAACACTTTCTTAAGGGAGCAAAATCTGCTTTTTGTTTCAATTTCTTTCACGTGAAATCTATTTTGTTCATAGATAAAACTCTGGAGATGTCACATCCCGGCCATTATTTTACGACATGAACAGAATAATGCAGATCAAAAATCACCCAGAGCTGAACTTAACTTCTCAAACTACTGGAAATAATTCAAAACGCCCTCAGAAGGATGAAACACATCAGAGTCACATCTACTGTTTTACACTATTAAAACTTCTTCCCTGATTGTGCAAAATAAAATAGTTTTAAAGTTTAAAAAGAGGTCCATTAGCTCGGTACTCACGCTCCTTGATGCCGAAGCAGGCGGCCCACTCCTCCAGGCCGATGTACTTGTCGTTGTCGGCGTCGCACTGCTCGAAGAAGCGGGTGGTGCAATGCTCCATGGGAATGAGGGGGGCGCGCAGGGGGGAGAGCTCCGTGTGGGTCAGGTACCTGCAGACAGCACAGCACCCACAAAGAGAGACGTGAAACAATAATCAACGACTTTCCTGTTTTTTGGTTTTCCGCTATTTAGTTCTGACGAAAAGCAGTTTTATCAGGCCGGGAATACTTCAAGCACTATTATAAAACGCCTTCTGTGTTGTACTATTGGCTCATTGCGCGGTACGTACCCGTCGACGGGGTGCTGGTCCAGCTGGCCGAACTGCCAGTGCACGGGGAAGATGTACATGTTGTAGTTCTTCTCGAAGTCGTGGGCCAGCAGGTCCAGGGAGTGTGCGCCGGCCTGCAGCCTCTTCTCGTTCTCGAAGATCTTCTTCACCTGAACCCGCCGAGCAGACGCAACCCACATGGAGAAGGACTGTTAGTGACCCGGAATCAGACATCGACTGTGGGCTATGGAGCACAGTCTGTTTGTCAGAAGTGGAGGTCACCGTCGCCATCTTGGATTACGGTCTTTGCCATGTTCTTTTTTATATGAGGAGTGACGTCTGTGTGTAGCCCCGCCCTAAAGCCCACCCTGCTCTATGATCTATTGAACTCTAAATGGACCACAGTTTACTAAATGAACATCATGCTGTATTGATGAAGAGCGTAAACTATAGGTTGAGACCATAATGTTTAAAATGTTTATTGAGGGAATAGATCAAGTGAGAAGTAGAGTCATTTTCAGTCGCCCCTAGTGGTCACTAGAGAGAATGCAGCTTTATAACATGAAGCTTTGGCTGCTTTGGAGTATATAAATATATTTATCTTAATTAATTACAGTTTTAACTATTGCTTTTTGAAAGCTGCACCTTGAAGCTTGTCTTCATATGTTTGTAAATGTTTCTAATCCACAGAAGTTAAATGAAGTGTGTACTTTGCACCATCAGGGGATCCATAACTTCTCTGTGGTATGCTCTCTCAATATGTGACATGATTGGATTTATTTCTCTTGTAAGATTAATATTTTCCCTTTATTGCCCTTTACCGTATATTCTGCTTGCGTTTCATCCTTTTGTTCAAAAATCACATGTTTAACTGTTATAAATCTGGAATAAAGCAGAACACTGCTGTGTGTTGTTCCAGCCACATTCCACCATGATCTTTCTGGACTCACCCTGAGCTTCTGCTTCTCGTTGAGCAGGTTGTTGTCCTCGTCGCGCTCGTACAGAGTCACCAGGACGTTCTTCAGCCAGTCCCTCATGCGCAGGGGGAACTCGCCGAGCTCGGTGTCCATGCAGGGCTCGATGTCTGCGGGGAGGAACCACTGTCAGCTCCATTCATGAAACCCACAGACTCACAGTTCTCTCAGATGTCCCTGCCCTGTGGGTGTTGTGGTTTTAATTGGTCTTTGAACATTTCAGCGGTAAATCCCCTGCTGGGAGATTTAAAGGACTTTTACGTCCATTTTATAATAAAAAAATTACTTAAACGGTTTAAGCGTATTTTTAAAAAGCCCAAAAGATCTGCACCTCATTATTTAATCCTCAATATATAATGATGTATGCAATGCATCTTTGTTCTTTTGTACTGAACAACACCTTGATCTCCATTTGAGCCTTTCAGCCCAGAGTAATTTCCTCAAGC